CATTTCGAAATTGCATAGACAAAATTGTTATGAATAACGAATGGGTTGACATTAATAATTAATTTTTCTCTCTTATGTTCTCTATAAACTCTAATAAATATAAATTTAAAGCGATTAGTATGTGCTACAAACAAAGTTCATATATCTTGCTAACGCAGTGCAGGAGGGTATAACAGTATTTTCGAGCATGTATGTAGTAAATAACAACGAATACAATGTAGTCTAACAAACACGGGGAGGAATGCCACCCCCAAAGAACCTTAAAAGCAAAGCAAGTTCGCTTGTGGCTCTTGCCTATGTAACACGTCACTGACGGCACAGCCCACACGAAAAATTGAACGCTCCCAAGTAACTTCAAGCAAAATAATTATAAGCGTGGGAAAGGCAATGAGCAAAGGTTTCTCACGCGCGATTGGCACGTGCAGAGCGCACTTTTGTGCAGCTCTATGATGGATATTTGTCAGCTTTTACTTCCGTATGTATGAACACATCTATGTAAGAATGCACTTATGTACATTTGTATGATGACTACTACCACGGTTTGCTTTAGCGACGAATATCCTGTATAAATGAAAATCTACAAAAGATACAAGATTGTATTTGTTCGTATTCTCAACTCACAAAAATATATTGGCGTTTTAATAATATATTTTGAAGCAAGAAGTTTGGAATTTTTGATACATACATGTACATACATACATCCTTTTCAACGCAATATGCTCTATGTGATGTCTTCGGCAAAAATGTAAAAATCGAATGACCTTTTTTACAGGCTGATGAACGCAAATAAAATACAAGTAAACAAAATAAAAGTAAACAACATAAAATTAATTAAAATTTTTGATAGTGTTTTTTTTAATTAACACAAAAGTGTAAATAAAATATTGTTACCTAAATGTAATTAATATTTAAAAATAATTTTTATAAATATAGAAATTGGAATTAAGTAAAAGAAAAGTTGGATGTTCGATCTAAAACCTGACACATTATCATCATTATTATATCGGAAGAATGGAGTGGTTCTGAATCCTGACCTGACCATCATTCAAACTCATAGTAAATTCATTTAAATAAAAACATAAATTAGTTTCTATAATTGCGTTCGCCAATTGGCAAGTAAACCTGACAGGAAAATCCCTACTGGAAATCAACAAGATGCATCCTACTAATTGGAGGAGAATTAAAGGTAAAATAATATTGCTAGAATTCAAATATATACAATATATTGGTGTATGCATTAATTCGTGCGATTTTCTAAGAGATTGCTCTGCTAGTATTATTTCGCGTCGTGTTCATCTGTGGCTGTATTCATTTCAAACAACAGTTTGTTTCATTCATTTGAAAATGTCATAATTTGTACCAGATAAAGTGTTTTTGCGAGGAGTTCTTCTTCCATACTTTAACATGAAGAAAAGTGCTACCGAAAGCGATCGTATTTCACTGGACGTTTATGGTGACCATGCTTTAGCCAAAAGTGGTTTGCTCGGTTTAAAAATGGCAATTTCGACTTAGACGACGGAGAACAACCCGGACAGCCAAACAATTTCAAGACGAAGAATTGGAGACATTGCTCGACGCAGATGCATGCCAAGAGCAAGAATAATTTGCAAAAGTATTAAGAGTTAATCAAGCAACCGTTTCCAGAGGATCAAAATCGTTAGGATTCACACAGGAACCTTGAAAATTTGGTGTTAATGAATTAAGGGGGGAGCCTGGTTTAGAGGGTCAAAAAAATCAATTTTTTGAAACTTTCTTAATCTGCGCACAAAACAGAAAAACGCTGTTTTGAGAAAATCGCGTTCAAAGTGCTCACGCCCGCTTATCAGTCTCCTGAGCGCATTGTCTCTCAGAGGCCATTTCTGCGGAACAATTAGGAATTTGACTCTGAAATTTTGTGCAAATATTTCTGAATATATTTCTAATCGAATGAGATAAGGTTAGGCAACCTAAACCACTGTGCCGAATATCATGCAATTTCCAGCGTTCTGAAAAAGGTTCCCCCCTTAAAGCCAAGAGACGTCGAACGTCGATTCTGCATGTTGAAAATGTTGCTTCAACGCCACCAAATGAATTCGTTCCAAATTAATACGTTTGACCATCGCGAAAAAACGACCAGAATTTGCCACTAGCCACGAATCAATAACTTTTCATCACTACAACGCTTGGCTACATGTTGCAAGGCCAGTTAAAACTATTTGGAAAACTGTGGGTGGGAAGTTCTACCTCACTTGTTCAGATCAATGCAGAATGCCCTCACCGGAGGACGCTTCACTTCAGAATAGGGTATCAGAAATTGGCTTGATTCTTTCTTGACCTCCCAGCCGGAGAAGTTCTTTTGGAATGGGATCCACAAACTGCCATAAAGATGGGTAAACATCGTAGCTTCCGATGGACAGTACTTTGAACATTAAATGTATAACAATATTTTCACAATAAAGTCTTAATTTTCGAAAAAAAAACCGCCGAGCTCCTCTTCTAATTTGCGGTTTTGCGTCATGATGTTTTTCCAACAAATGGTTGGACCTACAGTTTATACTAAGCCGCCTTCGAACGGCTGGTTTTTTTACGAGGAGCCTTTAATTCATGTCCGAAATACACTCGTGGCAGTGGACATTCCCTGCCGAGGGGCTACCGCAATTAGAAAATTTAACTTAATTTTTTATTTAAATTAATTTTTTACAACTTTTGGATGTTGGTCGCGTGGAAATTTGAAAACGAGCCTTTCGAGTGGTTGTACGCAATGTTAACCACTCGGCTACCGCGGCCGCCAGAATTCATATACTAGTATTTAGTATATGAACAATAATAAAATGAAACTCCAGGTGTGGGCTAAATCACGATCAGTACAGCTATCAACCCGGGGATTGAAAATCCTTGGTTGTAACACTGCCGCGCACAAAAAATCTTCTTGCATAGTCCGTTCATAAAACTGATATTCAAGTTCTCTGCTGCCTGTTTCAAGGCAAGATCTCCGTTTCTATGACAGCTGCAAAACAAGGCAATTACATTACAAATTCTAAAATAATGGCGGAGCGTTACAAAGCTCATCAAGGCTGTGCAAGGCAAACTCTCTCTCACTCATTCGTGAACAGAGAACGCATTAATTTTGGTCAAAAGTGTGTATTTACCAGATGAAGTAAATCTAGACACATCAAACTTAATATTGATATGATCGAAATGGCAAACACGTCTGGCCATCTATTTGAACGAAAACTATTTCATCAATTTTTGAAATGTTTAACGTAAATCGGATTGAATGTGTATTTATGTAATGTATTATATTAATCCTTTCTCAAAATCAAGGAAATCGAAAGAGTATAACAATCAACTGGTTGTTGAGGTTTCATATTATATTTTCTTCTCTCAGTTAAGCGTTAAAGAATATTGAGCTCGGTACTTTCCTCATAAATTAATGCCGAAAATCTTAAAAATAGATTACAGCTTTTCAACTATAAAATGGTGTTTTCGTGTCATAATAGCTAATTTAGTAATTTGAAAAAAGTATGTAAATAAGTAAGTAAGAAGTCACTGTATTTAAATAATAAGTTAAGTATTATTCTTACCTAATAAAATAAATATAGTACAATATTAATAAAATATATGAAAACTTCGCCGTGGCTAAAGAAAAAACTTTTACGTCTTTTCAAAATTGAAAACAATTCAAGAAGAAAATAAAACTAATAAATAATTTTGTGGCGTGTGAATCATATCCTAAGATTTCTAAAAAGTACTCGAAATATATTTATCTAAGGACATCTTGCACGCGTGATTTTAGTTTCCTAAAACGCTTTCTTAGCTGCCAGTTTTTTTTTTAAAAAGAGCCCTTAAGTTATTCTACTTCATTTACTTAGGCTCAGAACTATAATATTATTAGTTCGTTTTGACTTTCTCTTAACTAAGAATTTTGTTCAGTATTTCAGGAAGAAAAAAATTTTATTCTAATTTCTCTGACTTCCAAACCTATTTCATATTATTTCTAATGATCTAAAATGCCACCAAACATTCAGTTATTACTACCATGTGTAAAAAATCTCAAGGCTTGTAGTACCAAAGTTTAATAAAGGTGTAAATATCCTTTTCCATATTGATGGAAAGGAATGACTTTGGCGTAGACGCCAAACAAAGCATACTTTCAAATTGCCGTTTCTTTTGATTAAACGTTTCCGAAGGAACCAAAGGAACCGTTTAACGGAAGATTTAAACTACAGTTCAAGATTTTGTTTACACTGTATTCAAATACCTCTAGCATGGCGAAAAAATAGTTTTAACCTTTCTTTGAAGTAGCTGTTGATCAGTTTTAGTCCTTATCGAAAGAGTTTATCCTTTCTTAAACTTATATATAATAGGTATATATCGCGGTTCAATAAGTGGAATAAAGGTTTCCTCTGATTTCTTTGATATCTAACTCACTTAGCAAGAAAACGCTATTGTCATAAAAAATCTCGCTTAGAGAATTTAATTCGTTAATGGGATATAGTAAATTTCTTTCTTAGAGATTCTCGTAGCATCTTTTGTGTTTCAACTTTTCAGAAATGAGAAAAAAAAACGACAGATGAGCGAAAGTAAATACACCAAGGCTCATATATGAAAAGCTAAATTTGCATTTGCTTGTTTGGTTCTCAGGAACTTATTTTAAACAAACTTAGTAAAGCTGGATATAGTATTTAACCTAATATGCGCATATTAGAGCTTGTGCTGTTTCAGCTAGTTTGCGTAAAGCGTCATTGTAAAACCACATTAATTGAAGAAAGAGGATTTTTTTTTTGATATTTGGTTTGTTTCGCCCGCCGCCTTAATTATTTCGATTTGTCACGGGGTGTTACTCTAAGTAACTGGCTATATTTTTTATGATTTTTGCCTCTTGAATTAGGGTGGACTACATTGAACTGTGTTTTGAGTGCTTCTATTTATATTGCATGCTTTTTGGTTACGATTTGGTTTTCATTCCGTTCCGGTTCGCATTGTCGTATTACAATAATACAAAGTGCAGTTGCTGAGATGAAAAATATGTATTTAATATATCGTGATTATATGTTATTGCTTAATTTAAGACACAATTTCATTCTTAGATACATACGTAAGTATTCGTACAAAGTTTTGATGTAAATATAAGCTATTCGAGTATATGCGTTGCAGGTAAATATTGTATATTAACAATGTTAACCAATAAATACTATTAAATACTTGTATTCACTATTAGATAATACAATCGATTCACAACATCATGTTTGTGTGTGTTTATATACACGTATACATACATACATATGTATATATGTACGAGTATCTCACACTTTAGACCGGCATAGATTAGTCGCAAATAGGCGCCGTTCATTAAAGGAGCTGCCCAGTACGTCCTCATCCACCCATGTCTCCAGTGTTGTCGAGCTTGAGCGAAAGCTGGACTTCTGTGATTCAGTGTCCAATTTAAATTGAGAAACTCTTTTTTCGCTTGCATTATTCCAATTTATATCTGCAGAGTCATTCCAACTGTCATCTATATAAAAATCATCATCCAACGAATTTCCATTGATATCCCATTTAACAACGGGCATTAATTTGTCGAAGCGGTCACGCTGCTCTGCGATAACAACGCTTTCATATTTTCCAGGATTCTTAATTTCCAAGTTCATAACATTCATAGGCACATATGAGGGTGCATTCTGTGGCATTGACTGCACGATTGGTGTTTGACGCATGCCGCTATCGGTGTTGTTGTTGCGTTTTATAACTGCAGCATTTTGAGTTCGTTTTGGTGGATCAATAAATGGATAATCGGTTAGTTTGCTCTCATTATGTTCACAGTCGTCAGCATCACATAAGCTCAAAGTGGACGGAGTGCGACGAAAGTAGCGCACGTGTTTTTTGTATGGAACTTTTTCGAAGACAATATCATGTACAGTGGGTTCGAGCTCGGGTTCATTTGCCATTTCTTCGGAGACACTGTCGCTGCGCAGTTGCTCTAAGCGTTGAAATTCATAGCCGTCGGTCGAGTTTAAAAAAAGTCGTGTTGTCAGACTTTGAAACACGTTATATTCAAGATTGGTTGAGTTTGAATTTTGTGCGTAAGCCTCACATGTCGATGTAGTGCCGATGGTTTGGACGGTTTCAGTTTCTTTAACATTAAGTATTCCATCTTTATTCTCGTTTTTTGGCGGGTATTGCGGTAGTGTTGTTGAAAGATCATCATATCGCGAAACGCCATCGGGCTGATCACTGGTAATTTCATATTCTTCTTCAAGCTTCTGCGCGGACACAGGTTTGAGGGGTGAAAATTTACGAAAAACCTGTAAATACGTATTAGTATAGCAATGTTAATAAACTATATTAAAATAGGATACATACAAGTAAGTGATTAAAAAAATGTAGTAAAGTTATGAGAAATACGATTGTGATTATAAGAAGAGTGAAACATAAAATTGGTTTTAATCCTTTGGCTTATAACGTGATGAGGGTGTGAACCTTCTGAATTCTTAATAAAAAATACGCTTAAATATTTACAATCAAATATACTCGTACATGGATAAAGATAAGAAATACAAGTTTAAGACTAGAGAAACCAGAAATCAACGAACTAAAATATCAGAGTTGCTCAAAAAACACGACGATATCATTCTGCTTCGCTGACAAGAAATTTTTAATTATTTTTGAAACAATAATATTTATTTATTGAATCTGCTACGACATTGGAAGCCTAACAATAAGTAATAAATCTTAAACTAAACTAAACCATTAAGCTGCTGGCGGGCTTGACTTGTTGAATAGGCCAAGATGTTAGTCAAAGGGTTCGGATTTCGCAGTTTTGTTAAGTATTTTTTTTATATTTAGATCTCTATGGATATATTCATTACGCATGTGCCATGGTGCGCCTATTATTATTCTTGACATTTTCGATTGGAACCTTTGAATTATATATACATTCGTCGCGTAAGCTGTGCCCCATAACTGGGTTCCCCACATCCATATCGGTTTTATTGTTGCATTATATAAGAGGACTTTGCTGCTAACGCTGAGCCCACACTTCTTGTTTAAAATCTAATGTAAACTGGCAGATTTGAGTTTAAGCTGCAGGTTTTTAGCAGCAGTGTGTCGTCTCTAGCTTAAACGCCTGCTCATTTCGATCGGAAAAAGAAGTAATTTTTGATAGCAGAAAGTTTTCGAAAAGTTATGGTTACAACATAACAAGAGGTAAGGCAACAGGCTGATTGGTGAGATATGATCGTCTCCTGGCGATTTTTGTGGATTTCAGGCGGCAATACTATTTTTTAGTTCCGACAAAGGTGCTTCGCAAGTAATAGTGCTTCTAGAAGCAGTATGGTTCGGTGACATAAGTGCACTATTTGTATCAGTATTTCGTTGAAATATCGCGCTGAGGTGTTCTGCAGTTTCAAGGGTACTTCAGTGCTTGTTAGCGATTTAAGGTTTTTGCTAGTTCTCCAAAGAGATTTTTTAGTAGAAATGTTGGGAGTCAAAGACGTTATAAGATTTTTAATATTTCTTTCTTCTTCGGATCAATAATTCTATACCGCTATTAGTTGTAAATGTTTTTGCTTCTGTTTTCTGCTCTGGTGTGGCTATAGTGCTGCTGTTGCTAGTACACTGTTAAATACATGTAACTCGTTTTCAACATCAGTTCCTCTCTCTATTTGCGGATTGATCTGTATATGACTGCTAATGTATTTTTTATATTCAAGCCAGTTAGTTCTTGATGCAGTAAGTCGAAACGCATGCTCACTTTCAATTGCCTGTTCGTTCAATTTAATGAATATTGAGGAATGATCAAAAGACAAGTCAGCACAGGTTTTAGCAAAGACTAAACTCCTATCTATGTTTATAGGGACCACAAAGTCAATCGGGTTAGGTACTTTCCTTGAGTCTGTAGGCCTGTAAGTCATTAATTTTCATGGGGAGATAAAATCGTATCTATTTCTGGTAATTAGCCTCTATCCCCAATGAATATGTTTCGCATTGTAATCGCCTTCAGCTAGGAACCTATCTCCCAGAGTCATGAAAAAGTCGATAAACTGCTTTTCTGTTATTACGAAACGTGTCGGACAGTAAATCCCAATCAAACCCTTTACTTTTCAGTGTGATCGAAGTTGTGTGCAACCAATTTGTTGAAAAGGAATTAAGAAAGCTGTGCTTTAAACGGTTACTTATGAGTATAGCTGTGCCACCATGAGCTTTGCCATCTGGGTGATTAGTTATTTCTGTTAATTATGTTAACGACTGCCCAAATTTCAAACCCTTGCTCCTCTAGAGCTTCTTCTATATCACCTGAGTCGACAGTGGTTTCAATTTCCTTAATTACAATCAGGTCTTTCGCACTCTTCAACTGATAAGAGTAATAATTCTTGTTGTTTGCAGAAACAAACACATCGACTTCAGGAAAGTCCTTTTCACCGTGAGCTTGTATTTTGGTTTCACCTATGTTTCCTTTCTTAAGAGGTACAGTGTGAAAATTAATGGTGCCTATTATCTTGGCTATGTTCGTAACGAGTAAATTAGAGCTGCCCTCCCGCAAGTAGATTGGTAGAGGTTTAGTATTGATAGCTGTGGAAATACCCTTTGGGTCTGTTATAGGCTCTTATTCATTTAACGGGGTAAATCTGTTCCCTTTAAGTGCATTACCATCAGCAGCGATAGTGGAGCCAAGGGTATTATGTTTCTTAGCATTAATCACTTTTTTGGGAGGACTAGATTTCCACTTTTTGTTTACCACATTTATGCTTGTTATGATTTAACAGAACGTTTAACATTGTCTGTTAACGATTTAACATTAACGACAGCTTAAGTTTCAGGTAAAAATGAAAAGAATTAACGTGGAATTTATCATTACGACGCAACCTTGAAAAATTCAAAACATAACATAATCATTTCGATAGTATTTTAAAATTTCAAGAAGTCATGAAAAGTAAGTAAGGAAATAAACGGTTTGAATGTTTGTATGTTTGAACTCAAACTACCAGTAGTTTCACAGTAGTAGAGTTTTTAAAAGATGTTTTGTTTGCAGATACATACATACATACGTGTATACATATGTATATTTTCGCAGTGTATTAATCGTTTGTAGAGACCAGTAAGATCAAACGTCTGTAATTGTTCAGATAGGTAATGATCATGACTTCCATAATTAAGCATCTATGAGCATTAAGCTTCAACCAAATATTGATACTGAAAAAAAAACATCGGAAGACTACTTCACATAGCTCTCGAATGACGTAAATTTTTTCAAAGCGTGTTTGCGTTCCCATCGATGAACTGAAGCATAATAGACCTTTACTCTAAATTCCTTATTAGTGTAATTAAAAACGCTTTAAACAGGGTTAATCTTACGCAAAACCTTTATCTCGAAAAATCCTAACGCCGACTCATCAGATATTGTCATTCTTCATGTCTCCACACCATAACACAGGACGCTAACGATAAGCGACTTGTAGTTTGGTTTTCGTTCGACTTTACTTTTCAATTGCCTGCTCAGTCAAATGCAGCACCTGTTGGCAAGAGTGATTCTGCGCTGGATTTCCAGGCTGACATTGTTGTTGGTGTTAATAATGGTTTCAAGATAGGATATGACTTCAAAGTTATGACAATCGATAGAGCCGATTTGCAAATGCGAAGAATGTTTGTTTGATGACAGCAGATATTTCATTTTGCCCTCATTCACTACCAGATTCATGGCGCGGTTGCTGAGGCCAATAATGTCAATATCAACGGCGTACGGTAGAAGGTGTACCCTCTTATATTTATAAGGTTGTACCCTCTCTGCACCTCTTATTATTTTCTCCAGCATTAAATTGAAGATATCACCTGATAAGGAATCACCCTGTTTGAAACCTCGTTGGGATATCGAACGGCTCGGAACGGTCCTTCCCGATCTTGACGGATCTTTTAGTGCTGCTTAACTCAGTTTACACAGACGTATAAGTTTTGTGGGGATACAAAATTCATACCCTGAACCGCTACAATAACTTTTACTGGATATAACGTTTGCCGATTATGATTTTTATTTCATTTGCAATTGATTCAGGAATCATTAATTTCATGAAAAAAATGTCTATTAAGTAGGACCATTAGCGTATTTGACTTCAATTATTATTATTTCAAAATATACGAGGAGCGGCTGATAAGTTCGCGGCATAAAGTGGGTACTGAAACAAATTTATAATTTTTTTTTTTAATTTTCAAATAGTGAAATACGCTTTTCACATAGTGAATACATTGCCTTTATAGCATTGGAAAAATATTCTTTAGATCTCTCTTCAAAATGGGTTTCTTCGTTCTCGCAACTCCTTTTTTAAATTTGAAGAAGTTTCGTACTTTAGCGTGGATTGTCAAAATCTGTAAATCAAGTATCTTTCAAGGCAACTCTCGCGGCTCTATCTGTACGAACGGGTGCGTTGCTTTAAGCTTGTCAAATTTCCGTTGACATATTGTTGTAGCTTGTTCCAGGAACGAAAGATTAATGAAACAAATAAATTTAGTTGTCATTTATTTGATAAAAAATTAAATAATACAAAATAAAATAAAATAAAACAAACGAAAAGAAAATTGAATGAAATAAAAAAAAAAACAAAATGAAATAAAATAATATAAAATAAAATAAATTAAAAAATATAAAAAAGTGTAAATAAAATATATGTAAAATAAAACTACTTAAACCAAAATTAAATTAAATTAAAATAAAATAAAAAATTTAGTAAATCAAACTGGAACATAGTGAAATAAAATTAATGAAAACAAATTTAAGTTAAGTTAAATTTTCAAATTGCGGTCGCTCCTTGGAAGAGAATATCAACCCCTCTGAGTGTATTTTTGACATGAAATGAAACATCAAGACGCAAAACTATAAACTCGAAGAGGAGCTCTGCCGAAAATCGCTTAAGTGGTTACAAAGAACTAATATATATATAATGAAAAGAAATTGTGTTATTTATACTAATAACGAGATGATGTATCACTTCTAACCACCTTAGGAACTTATCAGCGCCCCTAGTATATATTATATTTAAATTATAATGTATTATATAATATACAGTCCACTCGTGGTAACTTGAACGTATCTTTTGCAAAGGCTGCTCCAAATTTGGTCGTATTATCTAGATCATACTATATGCATAATACAAGTATTCATGCATGTATTCGTAAGAAAATTGTGTTTTATAAAGCTTTAATTTCATTCTATTGCCGTCTTACAAGGAAAAAAAGTGTGGGATATTAGTTTGCTGTGGCGACTTTCTAGAATATAAATAAGAATAATCGTAGTATGCGTTTCAGTCCATTTAAACCGTCGCTTGTTCTTTGTTGTAATAAATTCAGCAATTATTAATGAATCGCATGCCTTTCTTCAGAAAAAAATTGTTCATCTGAACGGCCGTTTGTAACCGCTGACACGATTCCGGCCGAGTTCCTCCGTGTTCAGCGACTTATAATTAGTATAAAAACGAAGCTAATTTACAATTCGCCTTTAAGCTATCGCCAACCAGGCAACATAATCGGTAGTGAAAACTCAAATATGGAAAAAATCGAATATCAGACTGTTATAAAGTTCTCTGCCAAGAAAGGAAAATCAGTTGCGACCACAATGAAGGAGATGTAATTGGTTTGAGGCGAGTCTAGTCCAGAAAAAACCATGATGTACAAGTGGCAAAGTTTATTTAAAGGAAGATTACCCTTTTCAGGGCAGGAGCATCGAGGTAACCACGCCATAGCATTATCCGAAAAGTTGAAAAAATCATTAGCGACGATATAATTCACAGCACGAGGACAGATTCTTTTGATATGATTCCATTGAGCACCAAATAAGCTCTCTTCGAAAGCATCAATTATTTAATTGATGTGAGTGTTAATAGTTTATTTGCAGTTGAAATTTTAGAATGGTTTAGAGCAGCTTTTTGTTTACCAGGAAATATATATGTATGTGCATATGAAACCAATTATTTAACCACCAATTATATCACTAATGTTGTTGCTATTTTACTGTCGTTTGCCTTCTTATCGATTCGTGTTTGAGGTCAAGGCATGCAATGAAAATTTATTGTTTATTGTTATTTTAAACGTGTTTTTGCACAAAACCATATACATACATACATAAAATACATACATATGCATATATATTAAAGTTTGATTCTCTCCTTCATAATTAGGCTTTCTACTGATTTTTCAGATTGCGTTTAAACATACATACACGTATCTTCGTTTTATTATTGATTTTTTTCACTGACACTGAACTTTCACTTTTATTATTGAAACGCATTGTATAATTGCTCACCTTCAAACACGATTTCTTTGTTATTTTTAGTAATTGTGCCATCTCTGTGCCTCCTTATGAAATTTGATGGCATCTAACACGAACATTCCAGCAGACACCTGTCAGATATACGTCACAGTATCCATAATTATAACTATTTTGATTATTACACGCTCTTCAACCTTAAAAACTCAGTCCTTAATCGAAGACTACGTAACTGGCCATTGAGAAGCCATGAAAGAGTTGTCCTGCTGCCAACTGCAACAATCAAGCAAATATTTACTAATGCCGCCGCCTGTAAGCGGGTAGTGCCACTGAGGGCATTACAAATACTCAAATGTTGTAGGCGACATTTTAGCACGCACTAACACGTGAGATTTTGGGTGGGAAAATCTTTTAAAAAGGACTTTACAAAATGTAGAAAGTGTGTAAATAAAATTTACGATGAGTTACTCATGTACATACCTACAAGCTGTTGGAAGCGCAGGCGTATTATGGTTCAAAGTTTAATGACGTCATTGTAGAAATACTCATTCATCACATTGGAATACACCAATATGAACGAAAATATAGCAGCCAAATGGATTTGCTTTGACTTAAGCTTCCTGATTTGTATAATCCGTAAATTATTTTTAGAATAAACTCTTGGGTTTTCAATACAAATTCTTCCAAGAGTAATCTGGGTTAGATTTATTCTTATGAAACAAATGAGTTCGAGTGTAACCAGGCATTAGATTCCCGATGACTAAATTAAATTTGAACCGACGTCATTTTAAAACGATAAATTTAACTTCAAACAGTAATTGCGGCTGTTGACCCTTTTGATCATTTGAACTATTTTGTTCAGCATTGCTGAAGCTAGGACGAAGTGAACACGTTTGTAAACAGCGATAAATGTCACATTAAACGGAATTTTCTTTGATCTCAATACCGAAAGATTCTATATATATTTATAGGCATGTATATAATTGGCTCTTTGTGACCGCTTAAGGGGTTACAAAAGTCTTGAAGGATTAAATACCTTTCTTTTCTTTAATTTTTTTTAAAATATACTAAGTGAAGTATACAATTTATTTTGTTTTCAAATAAAATTACAATATGTGGACAACATTTGATGAAAATTCGAATGAAAAATAGTGTAAGTTAATGCGTTGGCAGTGTCGTGAAGTAGACCGTCCACAAGAAAGTGCTTTCGCGGTAGTCATGATAACCTTTTCAATTTTTATTTGATATCAAAAATCCAATTTTTTCTTAAAGTAGGTAAATTTTTCTTGTCCCTGAACGAAGAAAAATTAAAAAAAAATAAAATTTTAAGTTTTTGTTGCGCTTTTCAGAAAAACTTAATTTTTTGCATGAGATTAGGCCACACATATTCGCTTGCAAAATGAGTTGAAATCAAAGATAAAATAAATCCTTCGTTCAGGGACTAAAAAAACATGCTTCAAAGAAGTGTGGAAAATTTGAATCGCTTCAATAGTCGTTGAGAAATTTTGACTACCGATTTCGATAAAGTGGTTTTGAGAAAAACGCGTTTAAAGTTTCGCCATCGGTCAAGCCATTACAAAGACGGTAGGTTATAAAACTCTCTAAATTCTACAATTGCATCTCGATCGACTTGAAACTTGGGGAAAATATTCTTGACACTTTGTACTTTTATATTGTATAAGGAATGATCAAAAAACTGATTTTTTTAAGCGATTTTCGTCCGAGCTCCTTCTCCAGTTTGAGGTAAGCGTTTTGATTTGTATCCAACAAATGGAGGGACATACAGTTTATACAATACTAACAGGCCTATTCTCGCTGTTATCGGTAAAGTAAATTTTGTTACTTTTTTAACACCCGAAATTGAATTTGGTATTCTGGCGAACTGGCTACAATCCTTGTCAAATTACATCTATAGTAAAGTAAGGCATTAAGGTAAAGTAAAAAAGAAGAATATGCACATCGAAATGGAAAACAGTGCCCAACAAAATAAATAAGTTTTTTTTGTTTATTAAATCATAAATATTTGAACCTAATTTTGGAAAATACGCCTAAACGACAAAAAAAAAACTCGCAAACTTCTTGGCGTATGCCTTTTTACACTTTTTTCTTCATGCCTACCAATTTTAGTTTTTATTTTTTTTAAACTAACAACACAAAATCAAACAGTAGTTTTTTTGTTACCTCCTATTTCGCTGATCACAAAATTTACAGGATGACAGCGAACTCAGAATACGAATTAGTAAAAAAAAAATTACTGAAAGGTACATTTAACACCAAAGTAAATTTTGTTACCTCGACAGAATAGACCTGTATAAGCCGCCTTCGAACGGCTGATGGTTTTTTATAAGGACCTCATCTTATGTCTTATGACATTCCCTGCCGAGAGGCGACCGCAATTAGAAAATTCAGCTTAGTTTCTTATTTAAATAAATTTTCTTTATTTTTTTGGATGTTAATACTACTCCAGGATTTGAAACCGAGCCTTCCGAATGACAGTACGCAATTCTAACCACTCAGCTACCGCGGCCGCTATTTCCTTTCAAAATTTGATATATTGTATATACATATGTATTTTATAATCTCCGCACTTTTCAGGAAAATTTTTCTTACAAAACCGGAAAATGTAAACATATCCAATAAATTCAAAATTCTCTTACGCAAAGTCAGCAATTATTTTGAATACTCTATGCATCAAATTTAAAAAATGCATTTACCATTAAAATTTGTGTCTTCAATCAATGAGTCATATTTGAAAGTAAATTTAGAATTGTTTTTTTGTTTTTTCTTTTTTTCTTTTTTTTTTCTTGAACTATCTGATCGAAATAAGAGTATGAACTTAATTGCTCTTTGAAATATGAACTCGTATTTATTAATCTTATAGCATTTGAGTTTGTGTGCCCCTTAAATACATACATATATACACATAGTCGTATATGTACAATATTTGGTAAGCATCTGTTGATTATCCAGTAGCATATTTTTGAAGTCCACTGTTTTCAAAAATAATAAACATAATATTTTTGTCAAAAACGTTTCCAACGTGAAAAGATTTGTGCACTTCATATACTGGTATGTATAGTATAAGATGTGCATACATATGTAAATAAATTAATTTGACTGATAACAACACATCTTTCTGCGTCTTGAATGCTGAATGATTATTCTTAATTAGAATTTAATCAGTACTCGTCTATACTTTACGAACTAAAGATTAAAGCTTACAATTATGTACAAATTCGGAAAAATAAATTCCTATGAAGGAATTTTGGATCTTAAAAAAATCGTTAAGGATGTCGACATTGAAGAGATGGAGGAAGCCTTAAATATTTGTGATCTGTCCGTTCTTGCCAAAAAATATAAAACCTGGTTAAAGCATATGCCTCGTGTTAAACCTTATTATGGTGAGCTAACAAAGAATTCGTTGTAAATATATACTCGTACGTAGGACAAATGTATATATATATTCATGAAAATATACATATACGGGTATATACGAAACTGAAAGAATATCGAGAAATATATAAAAATGGAGTTGTTGAAATCTGCCGAATCCCCAAACAGTACTTTAAAGCTTCTATGGAATATATTTGGGGTATGAAAGTGTGACAGAGGATAATTTGGTTTCCTATTGTGAACATCATTTTTATTAGTTTACTAAAGTCTAACTATATAGTTATTTTTTATACTACATCGGTACTCTTATTTTAATAGAGTTCTAATGAAATTTTGGGTTTTTAAAAACAAATTGCGGCCACGCTTGTCGAGTGGTTAGCAGTGCGTCGAGTGCGTCCTTGTCTGACCAGTATCCGAAAATTGCAGTCGCCTCTCGGCATTGAACAACCAGTCTACCGAGTGTATTTCCGGAGTGCAATAAAAAAGCTACTTATAAAAACCATCGGCTAATCGGTACTACAGAGAACTCAACTCTTTTTTCGGAAAGCCTCAAACGAATTTTAGAAAAACTGAAATGTTCCCCAAATTCTTTATTTGTATTTGACTGCAACTCAAATGATTCAAAACTCAAATATGCATTTGTTTTGTTAAAAAAAGTCAAATGAATAAAAATAAACATAAATAAATTTTAGAAAAATCCAAAGTGTTGTTTCGAAATCCTCAAGTTTATGTATGTATTGAAAATGAATAATTTTCAGTAAGTGCCTGTGAAATATATAAAAAAGAAAGCAAAAATAATTAATATTGATTACAGATTATGTAATACGAGTATATCGGATATTCGGATACCGAAGCGTTGCGACTGAAAGGAATTTCGAATCATTTTACCATTTGAGAGTTAAAGCAATAATAATTTGTGGATTTTAATAAACAATTTTCCAGCAAATGAGTAAATTCTTAAATTTAGTTAGTAAGATGGGTCCTTTTAGAATGCTTACAAAATTATATTTATTTTCAATAAGGTATAGGAATTGTATGTTATTCAGAAATTTCCTTTCAAAATTTGCTAGAGGACGAGAGAACTCCCTTTGCCTGATTCAAATTCAAATTAAACAATAACAACAAGCGGGTACAGGGTTGGTTATTTCTCCTTGCAATCGGTGGAAAATAAATATATACATATGTAAATGTGTTAATGACATGTTTCCCATCGTATCATATTTTCTTTTTTCATGATACCAAAATGAACAAACAGACTGTTAAATTTTAAATTTTTTGCAATAATTTAAAAAATCCTACAAAACATAGAATGCGGATAAGTTAAAATTCTATTTTTGCTTTCCCTAAGAGTACAAATTTTCAAAAACGAGTAGGGAAGGTCAAACTTCACCTTCTTTTTTCACCGAAACTCTAACTGTTATTCATAATTTAATACAAATCGATTTTTCTTTATATACATCAAATAATGCTAATATATGGTCAATCCTTATTTACAGCTGTCAAGTGCAATGACGATGCAGTGGTTGTGAAGGAACTCGCCAAATTGGGGACAGGATTTGATTGTGCTTCGAAAAATGAAATAAAACTAGTAGGTAAAAATATATATGTATTTCAAAAGTTTAATTAAAACGAATTATTCGCAATTAGGCGCTTGAAGCGGGTGCTAATCCGGAGGAGATCATATTCGCCAATCCTTGCAAGCCGGCAAGTCATCTGCAGTATGCTAAGGAAAAGAAAATTATGACCAGCACTGTGGACACTGAATTCGAGATCTATAAAATCTTTGAGCACTATCCCGAATCGAAGTAAGCCGACATTTTACTAATTCATATGTCAATTCTAAGGCAAATTTACGCACGGTAGTAACAAAAATGCTAAAACAAAAATTCCATGGTTGTTTTTGTGCAACCTTAAATGCGAAAAGTCAAAAACGAAATTCGTTCAGTGTATTTTGTTTGTGTAAGCGAACGTTCGAATGTCAAAACCAACTTCTCATATATTTTGGTTTTGTAATTTTTTGAAATAGAAGGAAGAAGTAATCATATGATGTGGCAACTTCACCTTCTTTACATTCGTCTTGGTCAATTCTGTAAATGAAAAGAAAACAAACAAAAGGTAATAACGCAGCCTCAGACTCAGCTACGACATGAGTCGTCGTAGTGATATCGCTATGTATTCATGTATGTCTGTACATATGTATGTATGTACATAAAATACCGTCATCGCGAAACTTAACGTCCCAGCTGATTGTCCCCACATAAAAATGGAGCTCGGTCAAATATGTCTTAAATATGTACGAAGGTCGGCTGATAAGTTCGCATCCTAAAGTACTTGATGAAACAAATTTATATATATTTTTATATTTTTTATTTTTCAATATAGTATCCCTCAACTGAAATACGCTTTTCACTACACGATTGTATTCACCCTTATACCACTGAAAAAAATTCTATCTCTTCAAAATAGTTTTCAACGACCGCCTTCATCTCACTGTCGCCTCATCACTGTTTTCGTGTCTTCAGACGACAGTGAGATGAATGCCGACCGGACTGTAGGGTGGATGGTCAATTTATGTAAATCCAGTAGCTTATAATTAACGGCGACTTTTCCTTTTTGAATTTTTTGGAGGCTCCTGTTTGGACTCGGGATCATACGAACAAATTCATGTTTCATCAACTGTTACAATTCGGCTGCAGAAATCTTTGCAACTCTCCAATCGTCGCTGCTTGTCGTGCGGCGTGAACATTCGAGATATCCATCGCTTACTAATTTTTTGCATGCTTACGTAAAATCTCTCCCGCTCGTTCTTTGTCAATCTGTAATCCTTCTGATATCTGCCACAATTTAATTCTTCAAACATCCACTCACTCATTTTTCGACTTTCTGAACATTTTCTTCGGTCACGACCGTCACTGGGCGTTACGGGCGGGGGTCATCTTCAAAGTTCTGTGTTCCGTGTTCCGTGTTGAAATAGCCGATCCATTTTTTTCACCATCGTATATGAAGGGGAGGGGGGAGAGTACTGAGTACTGAAGAACCGTTGACATCTCTTTAAAAATTTTAAAACTCTTTTTTGATAGGATTTTAAGCACAAGCGCGATGCTCCAAAATGCGACATTTTTGTTGCTTCCTGCAGGAACGAAATGTTAATGAAAAATTAAGTTATATTTATAACTAATAATGAGTCCCGTAATCAGTGTTATCATTATTGAGATGGTGTGTCTAACTACCTTAGGTCGCGAAAAAGTCAGTCGCCCCTCGTACACACTCCTATATATAATATTACATAATGTACAATAGTTATTCGAATTGCTCGTGCCACTTCTTTGAAATGGGTAAAGGCATTAATAATATTCATGACTTTCTTCATTTAAAGTGGTTGTTGCCACACTGGTTATCCAAACTTTTGGATGTGAGATGTCGTCTTGTCCTTATAATTTTAATATTATATGAGTTGATATATATATTTTTTATATATGAAATAATAAATTGTAGGTGAAGTCAGAGGGCGTTTTTGTCCACTTGCAATATTAGTTCACTTTAGATCAGCATAAGTTCCTGTGTGATATCTGATTTCTTGTTCGGTGAGCTAATGGACAATTATTACAAATTTTTACTGAGGAATTACCAAAGAGCCTGATCTATTACTGAAAAGCTTAGTAAACTAGAATACGAACTGAATTTATTACGATTTCAAATGCAATATTTACCATGAACTGTTTCTTTTAAGTTTGGTTATACGTTTCCGGTGCGAAGCTAAAGTTGCACAATGTCCACTGGGTGACAAATTCGGGTGCGATGCTGAAGAGGATGCTGCGGCCTTGATGCTTCTGGCTAAAAGTTTAGGACTTGCCGTAAGCATTGCATAAAATAGTGTAATTTCGTACCGTTCTGTACTTGATAACGGTTTTTCGTAGGTAATAGGTACTAGTTTCCACGTTGGATCTGGATGCAGTGACTATCCAGCTTATAACCGCGCTATTGCCACGGCGAAAAGTTTGTTTAAATTTGGTCAATTGCTTGGTTTTGAAATGAAAATTATGGATATTGGCGGTGGCTTCCCAGGAGCTGATGATAGCAAGTTCGCTACAGTGAGTACAAACATAAAACATGAATCCTTGGCCTGTAAAATTTAATACAAACTGCTAGGACAGCATTTAATAAAAAATACATACACTTATACACATATATATTTTCTACTAAGGTCTCGGAGATAGTTAGTGCATCTTTGGATAAATATTTCCCGGACGATGATGTTGAAATAATTGCAGAACCCGGGCGTTTCTTTGTTGCCTCAGCGTATACACTTGTTTGTAAAATTCATGCGAAACGCGAAATTAGATCTGGCAAAAAAGCGGACCTGAAAATGTACTACATAAATGACGGTGTATATGGATCGCTCAATTGTGTTTTGTATGACCATCAGAAAGTCACAGTCGAACATTTTCTGGTAAAAAATAATGGTTACTTCTTCATCTCTGTCAATTTTTTTGAATATTTTTATTGTGTTCTTTTTCCAGGATGATGATGACAATTTGAAAAAATTCAAGTCGTTAATATGGGGACCCACATGTGATGCTTTAGACAAGGTATATGATCTACAATCTACTATAATAAATGAATTTATCGATATGATTTTTATATTTCATGTCTCGAAGATTATTGAGGAAACCTATTTGCCAAACTTATCGTGTGGGGATTTAGTTGCCTTTCCTAATATGGGAGCTTACACAGTACCGATCGCCAGTCCTTTTAACGGCTTCCTGGTACCGAAAACTTTATATTTCAAATCAGTTTGAGTGTAATATGTATAACTGTAAAAAAATAAAAAGGTAAATGTAAATAAATTTTTTATTCGGGCTTCAGTTTCATCGTATTCAATGAGTGCAAAACATTTATTTTTGAAATTTGGTGTCAAAGATTGGAATTGGGTGAATATATTTTTTTAACGAATTTTCACCAGGGACAATTGAAAAAATCAAGAGAAATTCTCTTGTCATTTCTATAGAAGTCTTCGGTGCATTTCACAGAAGAATGCTTTGTGTACAAACTCCGAACTCAACTAAAGTTACGAAACTCGTACATTTACGGCTTATAATGGACATGGTTTATAAGAAGTATGCCCGAGTGCTGAAAAGGGCGCAGAGTTGCCAACTCTCACACTAAATACAATTTAAAAGTTGGTTGAAGATTGCTTTGCCACTTTGTAGCTTGAGAACGGTTACACAAAATTCAACCAAATTTGTAAAGTATTTAGGATATCATGCAAAACCTGGCAAATTAATTACAACATCAGACGACCACGAAACAGTTTCAGCAATTTAATTTCATGTTACTTTATATATATATATATATATATAATTAGCTCGCTGAAGTGATCTCCTGCCGAGCTCTACCTTTAATTCGTGGTATGCGCGTGTTGTCCAACAATTCTAGGGCCTACAGTTTATTCTAAGCCGCCTCCGAATGGCCGATGGATTTTTATGCTTTCATTGCAAAGAAGAGTTTTCTTAAATTATTCTGAAATTATGTTTTAAATGTGGAAGACTTTAAGTTAAAAATAGAAATGTGAAATTCTTATCTATCTTAGATTCTCTCTGTACCAAGTGCAGATAATCTACAATTTGATAGACAATACGTTTGGAAGCTCAGAATGCATCATCGGACGGAAGTTTAACTAAACTCTTTTCTATAGCTGCATTCAATGGACAGCGAAAAAAGACTCCACCATTAGATGCAATTCCCTTTGCCACAGTATTAATGTGAAGAAACGATGCTGACTTCATAGGTGCTTTGCTTACTATACTCAAAAAAAAAAAAATTTCAAACATACGCATCAAATCAAAGAGGAATCTCTGTGTTTGTGACATATGTAAAATGTTTTAAGTTTTAGAAAATACTATTTTTTAAACAGCTTGTTTAAAAAATATAGTTGAAAACAGTGAAAGAAAAGTTGAATTCAACTAATATTTTAAGTAAAAAATTACAATATTGATAACGAATTAGATAGATTTGAAAAACCTTAATTTCGAAAACATGTATCCATTCCATTGGTTTAGGAAATTAAATTCAATTAAAATGTAAGCAAATCAGAAATTGCAAAGCTGAGGACACAGGAATTCAAGTTGAATGTTTGCCAACTCTGAAAAAAATATGAAAAAAAGATTATTTTAATAAAATTGTTTGTTTGATTTGAATGCACCTTTCCTCGATTAAAAGTATTCGATGTAGTTTTTAGATTAAACTGGCTGTTCTTTATTATTGTTAAATTAAATCAGGTATTTGGTAAAAACTAATTTCACTTCAAATTTGTTTATATAAAGGAACGGAAATTAAAAGGTATGTAGTAATATTTTCATACACCTAGAGCTGTCAAAATCTGACCCAATTTGACGCAGTTGCTCATCAGTTTGAAAATAAGGAACTTATTTTTACATATACAATTTTAGCCGTGACAATAAAATACTTCATATAAAAATATAGCGAAGAATTTTAACAATTTTTCAAACATAAAAAATGAAAATGATTAAATTTAACACCTTTTGAAAATACTATTTCTCAAAATACTTGTCACAATTCCTTTTCGTACATTTACATATGTATCATATTATAAAATTCAGTTTCTGAGTACAAGCATACAACCTTCGATTACTGACCCATATTTTGAAAATATTTGAATATTTTCATTCTTCAAAAATTCTATGCTTTTACTCATTACTTTCAATATTAAATAACCTTAATTCTAATAAACTTAAATACTACAAATATTCTCCCTCAAAGTTATGTATGTATATTAATTGTACATACGAACAAACGTTTTTATGAACTAATTTTAGTTGACAACAATTTTTTCACGTAATAAAAAACATTGACTTGCATTAATGCCCGTAAAAATATATTTTCAAACTTCAGATTCCCATTTGCATGCCACATTTTGATATGTCATTTTGAATGCAAATATTGTATGTAATTGGGATTGCTTGTAAATCTATAGCCTAAAGTGATATGTATGTGTGATGGGCTCCGCAATGATAAAGCATTTCGAAAAAAAAAATTGTTTGTTTTGTAAATAACACATTCTAAATTGAATGCTAAAAAGGTACATCCGCAGGTATTGTTTTTGTATTATTTATTTCTTTACTGTTCTTATAGGGAAAAGCTAAAGTTGTTTGACGTGTCAATTAAAATAAACATTTTGTATAAATGTTGAGACTGGAAATTATGAATTTCTATAGAAATTTTCTATTCATATAGGAGTATTCAGTATGTTTTTACCCGAACCTTATGCTCATATTGCAAGTACAAACTACTTATTCCATAATCAGTTCTTGTAGCAATTGTTTGAAATGTGTTCAAAATTTAAGTAGAATACCAATGCAAACATTTTTTTTTTGGGTTAATAAAAGTACATATTAACTTAGTTGATTTAAATGAAAGATTTCTTTAAGATTATCATTTTTGAACCGGCTTTTTATAATTTTCAAAAATTTTTTTTTAGGTTTCCAAGTGTACAAACCGAAAAATGATTGTATCTCACAACGACGACATTTACTTTGCATTTTAGCTTCCCTTTTACGTAAGATTATGTGTAGAGTATTATGTGTATAGTTAAAAAATAATAATATTTTTAGCAAATATCTAGCAAATACAGTTTAATAAACATTTGAATAGGAATGCATTCACGTGTATAATAACAATACAATACTTACTGTATAATTATAATGCAATTTTCTCTTATAAACTATGATATGATAAAGTTTTCACAAAAAACTTAGTTACTATTTGATATGTATGCAGTAATTCAATGGCATCTGTTATGATATGTGTCGGTAAGTCAAATTTTGAAGTATGAATGTATAATAATATTTTATCTACCATTATACATTTGCGCGAATCTATGACACTCTCAGCAGATCGACCCTTGCCGACAAGAGTCTATATAGATAGATATTTGTACGTAAATGTATATAAATTTTGTCCCGATTTACATTGACTTGAGTACTCGCTCATTGCTCTCCTGTAATGATATATGTATATATATGTAGTACATTGATTTGTAATTGCACTTCTTGCGCGCGCTGCAGTGAAACAAATTAGAATCTAGACACCACAGTAAATATGCTAAGAGCGAAAGCATTCATACGCAGCAAGTTTTGAGGAATTGGCGAGGGACTGGCGTTTTTGCCCCCACAATTCATCTTTTCCAATGGCATTGTTTGTACATAATATTGTCGATTTTCAATAGGCATGAGACACGCTGGCTTGTTCTTCTGTGCCATTTCGTCATCTCTATTCTTCAGATCTTGCAAAAGCCTTGGGAACCATGTGAGTTCACATGAACATATTAAAGGATTATCTACCAAAGGAATTTTGAAAGAAATATATATTACTTTCAAGCTGTAAGTTCAATAACGATACACCACAGTTTACCTGTAATGTCGATTATGCGCAACGTATCAGTAATTGGTTCCATTATGTCTTGTGGTATATGTGACAGTTTGTTGTTTTGGACATTTAAAGTTTCGAGAGAATTGAGATTTTCAAAAATCATACTCGGTAAAAATTTGATGCTAAAATTACAAAATGTTATGGTTGTTATTTTTTTTTTTTTGGCTATCCCTAGTAATGCAAATGTCTTACTCATTCTTTTGGAGATTTAGAAATGTTAGCGAATCTCCGTAGCCGGTAAAGGCGTCTTCCTGTATGAAACTTATATTGTTATTTCTCAAATCTAGATGGCGCAAGCGATGCAGCGGACGTAATGCTTCGCTAGGTATGGATTGTATATTATTATCACCCAAACGGAGATATTGAAGATTCTCTGAAACGTTGAAATAGTACATATTATGAATGATATAGAAGTATGTAACATTGTGTTATTTTTAAATCCTACCCTCCAATCCCTTAAACCCATCCTTGTCGATAATTTCGATTTTATTACCCTCCAATTCCAACGAATTCAAAATACTGAGGTGAGAGAACACATTGGCAGGTACACTGGTGATCATGTTATGCGCCAAAATCAAAGAATCTAAGCTCTCCATTCCTGTAATTATAAGATTAAATACAATAGCAATAAGTATATCCGCATATAGGCAACCATATAAATGCTATTAAACCTGCAAAATCGCCTTCATGTATGCTACCAATTTTATTTTCTTGAATTTCCAATTTCTTCAAAGAATCAAGTATAGATAGCGCCTTTTGTGGAATTACCGTAAGGTCATTGCCTCCCAGATTTAATCGTTTAAGTTTTCTATAAAAGTAAAAAATCTATAATTATTTGTTTATCTATGTTACAAAATAATTGTTTCTTATATATGATTGTATGTTGGATTATTAAATAAATACTCGTATGCATGTACATTTTAAGGGCTCATTGCAAGGTTCATGGAATAGGTTACGACAAGAGCGAAATTATTTGTTTAATGACGAAGTTGGTTCAATTATGTGAGTTGCCGAAGATTTTAACAACGTAACATTTTGACTTTAAATTCTAAGGCCTTGCAATGCATTTTTTTTAAATTAATAACAAACAAACGAAACGTGCTGAACAGTTCTACAAATTTTAATTTACAAAAATATTTAAATTTAAATAACTAATATTATTTTTCAACAATAAATTCTACAGCTGGGAACTTTAACTTTTAGCCTCATGTAATACAAACGGCATGCGTAAGTAATGTCAAAAGCGGTAAAAATTCGGAATTTTAATTTGGAATTTAGCCAACACGCATTATTTATACAAAAACTGATTTTCGCATAGTTCCTTTATCTCCTGAAAAGCTTTTGCGAAATAGGCGATGATACTCTTGTGAAATCTTGTGTGTTTAAAAATTCGAAGTGGTGAAGAAATGTGCAGTGGGTTATGGTCGACAAAAATTATAAAAAAGCTTCTGTGAGTGATTCATATTAACACTTCTGGAAAAATTAAAACAAAGATGTAATATTATACCAGACTCGTTAGCCGCCCCATTTTTTAAATTTAATGATATACGTTTTTGAGCTGCAAACTTAACCTTTTGGTATTAAGAGAAGTGAATTTATGGGATAGTTAAATTACACAATAACTGTAAGAAGGAAGCTGTGGTTTTTTCTTCTAAATGACACTTACGTAATACCACCACCGCAACAGTAGCTTTGAATAAAACACATAAATACACATTTATTGGTGCTTTACATTTTGCACAGCATTCGCCAAACCTGTGACTGTGGTGGACGTGGGATGTACTTCAACGGTTGTCTTAACCTTGAAAACCTTGGGTTCGTTATGTCTTTTATATATATTTAACTTTATTTTAGAACACTCCAACACACTTTTCGATATTTTATCCAATTCAGGTACTAGTATTTTAAAGGAGCTTACCCCACACAGAAGTGCTAATCAAACTTAAAGTAATGCAATTTCATGTTAATCTAGGCGCAAAGCTAACGACGTCCTGCTCCATTTCTGGGAAAGAAAAATACTTGTGCTTATTTAGGCAAAAAGAGTCCTCGTAAAAAAATTCAAGTAAGGAGGAAAAGGTAGTACATTGTGGAGCGATACCACAGCTGAATTTTTAGCAATTTTCAAAGAATGGATTTGAAACTATCATTAAATGTAAATTTTGAATTACGTAAGAATCTTCAACGGAAAAGTACTAATTGGGATCACTATCAAACACCACAAGCGACCAAGTATCTAATAATTAAATACAAACAGACACATAACCAATATACAATATGTACATATTTTACTTACTTTTCTACTCCTCGGAACGCTTCCGGCTCGATTGTGACAATTTTATTTTCGTATAATGTAAGTATTTCTAGAGTATCCAAGCCCTCGAACGCATTATTATGGATAACACCGATTTTATTGTGATTCAAATTCAGAATCAACAAGCGGAAGAGATGTTTCAATGCAGCAGATGGTACCGTTTTCATTTGATTCTGTGAAACATCCAACTGTGTGAGTCCATTGCCTGGAATACATATGACGTGTAAATATTATGAAACTTAATTTATAGATTACTATATTGAAATCAAAGCGTACCTAAAGAACTGAGTGCATTCTCCTCAATGGCTGCCAAACTGCTATTATGTATAGTCAAATGACGGATGTCCAGTGCCAAGAAAACGAAGCCTTGCAATTTGGGTAGGTTATTATGACGTAATTTTAAATAGAATATGATGGGACTCTGGCCTTTCAAAGTGCCCATTGATTTGGTGATGTGCGCTAAATCGGTCGTTTCACACAAAATATCTAAGCCATTTTTCTTAACCGTACATATACAAGGTGCAATGTCGTTTTGCTCCGGACATATTTGCTGAGGCTGTGGATTTGGTGCGCCCAATTTCTGATTCGCATATACCAGCGTGAATAGTACGATTGTTACGCTATAGACGAGGAGGCTACTGCTGGCGATATTCATTTTGCTCGGAGTCTTCACAACTGACAATTGAAATGATCACTATACTACTTTCTACTGTCCACGGGATCTCGTACGCTCTTGAACTGCTAATCTGATTCTTGTGCCAAATCCGTCGCGCCGTTCACACTCCCAACAACAAGTACACACACCTCTATTGTACGCCTGCAAGATGAAATGGAAGAGATGTCATTAAACAAACAAAACATACAAAGCACAATAGACTATCATGAATAAAAGCATCAATCAGCGTAAAATGATGCGAAATCATACACATACGTGTATGTGATACGTATAGTAGTTACATACATACGTACAATACGTATGTACAAAAGTATAGAGCTCTGCATGCCGAATTAAAAACCATACAGTATTTATGTATTTATACCCTGCCGTAAATCTTCTATTTTATAATTTCAAATTAGCGATTTGATTACATACACACACGTAGTACATACTCGTATATACTTCCATTAAAAAATACGAAAACAATAACGTGTTTCTTTTCGATTTCGGACAAAATCAACTATATTTTCTTTAGATTATAAGTACACTTCTCAATCGTTCATTTAGGCTCACGGCCCTTAACAAGAAACATTCATATTTCCGAACTTCCGATAAAAGTATGTGGCTTCCACGGTTATGAGAAGTTGATGGATATTGAGGTATGTACATATGTGTTGTATTTCACCCGATTCAATCAAAAAAAATTAGTCACCGCAGTTAGTATTCAAGGCTAATGTTTCCAAGAATATTTTCCTTGCATTTTTAAGTTATTTTAAGAGCTTAGTGTACTTTGAGCTGCTTCCAATAAAAAATAATTGATTCGAATGTTTGCTGTCGATAACATACAAGATTGATCAAAGACATCAAGAGGAAGTGCCTTGGCCTGGGAAATTCCAGAACGGAGTACTCTGTCATTATAACGCCGATCGGTCATCCTATTAACAACTTAATGGTAATGAATGTTATTCAGCGGTTGTAGAATCCCAGTGGTTAACAAAGCCTGCCACCTTGCGTTTGCATCTCTGTAGAGAATACCAATCCCTCCAAGTGTATTTCTGACATGAAATTGGTTGAAACCAACCAGTGGCAATTTATTTTGATCTTCTTACAAAAATTTTAGAATTTTCGCTCATTTGAATTTTATGCATTCCAGAAGAATAGTTTGGACTGACAGACAGATGATGCAATCGCAACGAAATCACCTCCTCTCATTATTCTGTATATAAAACATATGAATCATTCGGAATCGTTCGGAAATAGTAACGTTAACGAAGTTAGCAAAATAAATTTCATTTCGTTTTTACCCGAAACGAAAAGCTGTGGTTAATTTTGTTTCGTTAACAGATAATAATTAGCGATTTCTAACCACTGAAGCGACTTTTGGCCTAGATAAACGTTAATTCACGAATGCTGTTAAATCACAGCCAGCAGCCATTTTAAAAACGATTTCACTTGGCTTTGATAATTTATTCTTTTAAGCGAAACGGAATGATATCGTTACGTTTGTTGAGCAACTATAATATGAATATATGATATATATAGTATGTGCCTTTCGTTCAAAATAGCCAGTCATTCTCAGTGTGATAGTCGGAATTTTTTACGTACCCACTAACAAAAATTGAAAAATTTAACATGTAGATTGTGGGTATATCCATAATCGCTTATCACCAAATGACAATACCAGCCTCCGTTCACGAATGTATGGACACTCGGACACGGCTACAGCAGCTAGTTTTGTCACATGAAGCTTGATATACACAGATGCCTATGTCGATTACATTTGTACATGCGTTTACAGTAAAATATAGAATACCTTAAGTATACAGTTCAGTTTGATAAGAACAAACCAGGAATTGTTATTAATTTTTGCATGCCTAAAACATCAGCAAGAGATCTACATACGCAGTGATGAAACTCTCATACTACTCCAGCACTCATACTCATACTAGGAATGGAATCTCATTTATAATGTAATGAGTGGAGTGCTGCCTTATCAAGCCAAAATAGCGTTTTTTAAATTACTCCTAAGAGCAGTTCAATACAAAAACAAATCGTACTAAAGTTGACACCTTATAGATTTAGATACTCGAAATGTGTTATTCGGTCGAGCTGCGCCTCCAATTTGTGATATGTGTCATGATATTTTCCAACAAATGGAGGGACCTACAGTTTATTCTTATGAGGAGCTTTTATTTCATGCCAGAAATACATTCAGAGAGCTTGACATTCTCTGCCGAGGGATGACCGCAATTGGAAAAATTGATTTTCCATAATTTTGGGCGCTGGTCGAACTCGGACTCGCACTCTAGTCTTCAGAATTGTTGTACGCAATGCGGCTTTTGTGGCCGACGAGGAGCCAGCGCTTACAAATGCCAAATACATATGTATTTATATAATATTTATAAAGATCCATTGTTCGAAATCGTTGGTATGCAATTAAGTCCTAACTTTAGTTAGGCGGTTATCGCTTGTGGCCACTAACATAAATAAAATTCTTTATATTTAAATATGCTGAGAGTTTTCAGACGAATTTAGTTAAATTAAATAAAATCTGAGTTTATTTTAACTGCGGATAACAACAACAATACAGTAAATACAATACGTTTACTAGGCAAATAGCTAAAAATGAATAGAAAATGAATTGGACGATTGCAATTTGTATGTCGCCAACGCTATAGAGATACATAGTTACTATATGTTCATTCCTTTAGTTGTTAATTTATGTATGTAGTATGTGTATAGGCGTTTTCCAAAAATCTAGTTTGCCACATCCCAGTAGAAATAAAAAAAATTTCTGCTTGAAATGAATTTTGAAATCAGCCCTTTTCTAAAATCTGAAACTCTAGTTCGTAAGTGTACCTCATTCAAACGTTGACAGTGTTCACGATCGATCGAATTATAAACGTTAGAGCAGTCTCAGACTTAATCATAGGTCCTTGATATGCTGAATAACATACAAACACAATAAACTTGCAATATTTCCGTGAAACTAAAAACCATGCAAAAAATTAACGATGGAGACTTCAAAAAGTCTAGATGAATTTCAATATAAAGGTAAAACTAATGTGATAAAATTTATTTTATTTCCAACAACTCATAATAATGTTTTTTTTTAAACGATGTCTTGTATTTCTTTTCATGTTATTCAGTCATACTTTCATTATACTACTTGAAATACTTCCTTTTAGGCTGTTTAGTTTCGACTGTTTTCCTAATCTACGTATTTTATATTATATGTATGTATGTACATATATAACTTTATCCCTTGTAAAATATTTTACAACAAATTGGGCATTTTTCTTTATTATCTACAGCATATACAACTATATTCTATTTAAACAATTAACACATGTCTATTTGTATTTGCTAACTACGTTTTGAACACTTACCAAAATTGGAATGTTTCCACATTTGTAAAGGTACTAACTTTATCATGCCTTGAGCTAAACCAGCATTAAAGACGAAGTAATTTAAACACAAGTAGATATGTATATACGAGTAAATTCCATAACAACTTGAACCTTTGGGTCATGAATGGCAGGTTTGCTTGTTTTTTTTTTTTCAAGACACGTCCTTTGCTCCAATTATTCGGCTACATTACTCATTTGTCTGCTACACACGACCGCAAATATGCATTACATAGACATACATATGCAGATATTTCTTAAACGCGCCAATTCGAAACCTATTTGAGGGATGGAAAATAGAAGACATTTTAAAGAACTCAATCGGAGTCGGAAGCCCAAAAAAAATGTTCGAACAATTATTATAAACATATTCACATATACTTATGTATGTACATATCTGCACGTATGTATTTCTTTGAAAAGTTAATTTTCAATACTCTGCCTATAGCTATACGTAAGTGTGGTACACTTATGAGCAGAAAGTTTGTTTGAGTATGTATAACAGTTACTCAAGAAAATCAATATTCAGGCAATACAAACTGAATTTAGGCGAGTCAAATACGCACACAAACGTCCTAAGGAAAGGGCGCTAGCCCTACACCCACATATGCATATAACTCAACCCCCAGCACATATGCGCACACAGTAAAAATGTATATGTGGTAATTCTTTTATGAAAAGTAAAATTAATTGTTGCTTCTTGAATACGTCGATATATAAAGGTATTTGCCTTTTAGGTGCTAGACTTAAACCTTTGAAAATCCTGCGAACGTGGATAAGAAGTCTTACACAATTATCTATCTATGTATGCCTGTGTATCTTTAAAGTTTATATTTTTCACGTTAGTCGCTTAATCCAATTATATGTTATAAGAAACTTTTTCTTAATTTATTTTAAATCACTCCTTTTAATTTAATTAAATACCAGACTTATGATTTTTTTAACTTAATTCTCATTACGTCTGCCAAAACGTTCCAATAAAAATCACTGCGATTTGCTGCGCTCGCTCAACGCTTAACGACCAGACAGGAAAATTACGCGCGCGTTTTCACTGTAACACCGCCAACCAAAGACTAAATGAAATTCCAACGAGAGCTTATTTCCACCTCAGTCAGATTCCTATCGCATGGGGTTTGTTCGGCAAAGTACAATTTAACATCTTCACCATTCTGAACATCAATGAGTGAGTTTGTATAAACGCAACTTATCTGTTGAATGTTGAAAGTAAAAGATTGAATTTGGCCCAAAAAGAACAAAGAAAATACATTTCTTGTTTTACAGGATGTTAAAAACATGTATTTGACAAAACACTCTTTAAGTTACAAATATGTAGTAAATACGTATGTAATTTATGTAATTGTGTTTTTCTAATTTTGTTAGAAAACAGTCAGACAATACACAGATAATAAATTATAAGAAAAAAATAATAAAAAAAACTAAAGCTCATCACACTTATTTTGAAATATTACGTACAACTTATGAAGCGTAATCCAAAAGCGTTAAAAACAAATACTATTTCACTTAAATACTATACACTAGAAAATAGCTTAATTTAGGAGTATTATGCACCGAGCACATGGTTTTTAAAATATTGGAAATTTCAGTCTGAATTAATAAATTAATTGAGCCAAATGCTTTAATTTAATGCATTTCAATATTATACAGATAAAGTTATTTTCTACTTTTTTCTTTGAAGAACCTTGCAGTCGCCGCTTGTACTGCTCCAAATGTTTTCGGTACAAGCAAACTCCGAGTTATCCAATGCGGCAACTTTGCCTGTACACTTTCTCTGCAGTAACGTTCGTCCACAAGTAAAACACAAGCATAATCATTGATATGTCGTACAGATCTTCCAATGCATTGATTAACAGCTTTTAAACAGAGATTTTCGTAATATTCATTACCGGCACCTGCTCCAAGTGTCTCATCTAGATACCGCATTCGCTCTTGTAACTCTATTGATTGTCGATTCGGATAAGGCATGCCAATTACAATAACACATCTCCCCAGATCGTCGGCAAAATTAAGCCCTTCACTTAGTTTTCCGCCGACAACACTAAAAAGTACAGCTCCACCAGTACTACTAGACTTTATTGCCGCACTGTAATCAGTCAGTAGCTTTTCTACGGACGAGCCTCTCGTCGCACCCGTACGTGTCTCTGAAAATATTCGTTTTTTCAAAGATATTCTCTCCAATATACCGCATTTGTTCAAATGATTGTACACCAAATCGAGATAGTCATAGGATGGAAAAAAGCACACAATGCCTGCTGGTACCACACTACAAACGTTTTGAATAATCATGCCGAGTTCCGTGAGCTGTAATACATTGAAAGATATACGAAAAATGTATTGGATTTGGGAACATAGAAAATAAAATTCAATGAAACCAATAACTGAAAGTATTTTGGTTCGGTAATCATTAAAAATTACTTTTAAACTCTAATCTTCTTGTGGTTAAGAGCCAAATTAAAAATTAGCCGTTTAACGGTGAAGCGAATTCAAAGTGAAAACATTTATTTAAGGCGTTAAGTGGATAACAAAGGGATTTTTCAAGAACAAAAGTTATAATAAAAGTTTTCAAAATTGTATGTTGCTTATTAGTATTTGTATTAAAATTTCCCTGGTTATACGTTCTGCAGCTTGTATTACTCTCTTGAGCATAATGTTAAAGAAGCGACCAAGAATCATAGGAGAGGTCCTTCCCGATTTTAATAGAGCTTTTGTTGTTGCTCAGCGTACGTTCATATAGCCTAATTAGCTTTGCGGGGATACCTATAAAGCGGCATAAATGTCGATCATTGTCTCAAGGACCATTTCCAAGATTTGGTGCAGAAAGAAATCTGATTAATGGTCAATCTAGCATGTCTGAAACAACACTGACATTCTGTGTGGCATGCCTTTTATTTTAGAGAATAATTAATCTATATTTTTTTTTATTTTTAACTTTTCTATTTTTCTATATCTAAAAGTTTAAAATTTATTTTATATTAATTTCGTTTTTTTTTTATCCCTAATAATGTCCTTCTTTTGAAAAGGAGTTTATAGAAATTTCTAATTAGACCGTAAAAGCTCATACACCCAGCTTACGGAGAGGCTGTCAAGTCACCGAGGACATCCAACGGGAGGTCCAGAACACGAGCATTTTCCACGGGTTCGGGCCAAAGGGAGATGGGGGTTAGATGTGTTGACTCCGAGGACGCCATTCACAGGGAGACAGTATTTAAAGGTGTGGACAGACTCAAGCTCATACAATGTTGTTGTTGTAACCCCAAAAATATTCCCCAAAGTAAAAATCTGCGTCGTTCAGGTATAAAGACCCGACTGCCGCGGAAGCTATTGGATTTTAGTCGCATATTACAATAGGCATGCCTTACCGCTGGTAAATTCTTTAACTCCTAACCGGCAGGTTACAAGCTCATGCAATCATTTTCAACGCTTACTATTTTTACCCGCAAAATCAAGTCCAATGATGATGACTTTTCATATAATCATCAGCACCGAAGATTACTTTAAATTGGAGCGCACCTTTTGTAGAAACGTAGCGGCGCACATCGGTGTAACGATCAAAAATCGTAAAAGCAGTTCTTAACCGCCAATTTTCATTTATTTTTTTAAAGGTTATTAGGAGGGTTCATTATCAATTCTCTATATTCTACTAGACAAAGAACTTACATAAAAAACTGTGTTGCTAGAAACGGGTGACTTACCATTTCTGTACTATTGCGTTCAGTATAATTAAAACAAAGGCGTCGACCTGTTGGTCCTTGTTTAATCACAAGCGGTAATACTGCATCAGCGGGTACTACGTGGTCATAGAAGTGCTCACGTACTCGATTTGGGCATGTACGAAATAATTGCTCCGTCAATTCTCTGGTTGGTTGCATCGTACCTCCAGCGACAATTATCTATGAAGAGACAAGCAAACTCATATAGCGGTATTAACAAAATTTCAATTGAGAAAATTACTTACTGCTCGGGCATCTCGAATAACATCTGCAAAGTGTGCGCCTGGATTTAGTAAAATGTACTTCATCGTAATGTTTTTTAAGCCATCTTTTTCATCGACATGTATGATGATACGACCATCTTCAGCATTCTCAGTTAGAGCTTCCATAACGGCTAAAAAGGAACGAAACGGAGCACTAATTGATACTTTATCTATGTCGCATTCTGTATGATTTGTGTTTATGCCATCTATTTTTTCAGGACTAGATTTATTGTTCTTTTGTAAAATCTCGATTTGTTTGAGTAGTTGTTTTGTAGCAGATCCCTCCGTGAGTTCTTGCTCTTTTGTTTTTGTATAATTAATCGGATTTTCAGCAAAGCCCTGAAGTTTTTGTGCTAATCGAGATTGATCACAAAATTTGAGTAACCCATATAAATCGATGTTGTAGAATTCACCTTCAGCGGTGAGTTCATACGTGCGTAGAACTCTAAATATTGGTGCACTAGTTTGAAGAAGTTTTAAAAGCCGTTTTACTATGAATATCAATTGGTTGATATTGAGCAAACTTGTCGAACTGAAACGTTTTATATAACGCTTTTTATATGCACTGAGCTGTTGTTGTAATAATATTAAACTATGTAAATTCAATTCACAGCTATGTAAGTGAGCAATTGTGTCCAGCAAATTGTGCGCTTCATCTATTATTACGATCGCCCCTCGCAAATCAATGCCTGCCTGCTGTCGCGTGCGTCGATGCAAAAGCATTTGATATGAAAGCATCACAAGTTGTGCCGATTTTGCAGCTTCTCTTGCTGCGTAATAGGGACATGCATTTAAAGATTCACCTTCCGCGACTAATTCTTCTATGTCCATTATCTTAAGCAAGGCACTTTCGTTTAGATTCTGCATCAAACTTGCTTTGCGGTATTTACAACATTTGGAAGGTACATTTTCTTTACCATCTTTATTTTTCGGTGCCAAGTCTAGACACCGTTCGTTGATGACGCTCAGACTACCCAAGTGCTTTACTTGTGGATTTATGCATAATTGTTGCCGTGATGCTAAGGATATACATCTTATTCGTTTGCCATATGGTGTGCGTTTCACTTCTCTTACAACTTGAGCCAGTTGCGAGTGTGTACGACTGCAGAAAAATATCTGAATATTTAGTTGGATAATAGAAATAAAATTGTTCAGTTTTTTATAACATAATAGTAGTTAATGAAAACCAATTAATTTTCGACTTGAAGAAATCTGAAAATTCAATTAAATATTACCTGAATGGGCCGATATTTATCCTCTTCTTCTGGCTCATTTTCTATATCTGGTACATCATCAGTTCCTGTGATTTCATTCCAATCTACTGAGTTTGTTAGATAATTATCGGGAGTTGCATTAGTTTCATTAGTTAGCTCCAATTTATTATTATGGATTTTCCTCGCTTTAAATATTTCTGCTTGACGTTCACAGATTTCTTTTAATCGTTCATCGTATACCCGGACCAATTTTTGTAATCGTTGTAATTCGCCCAATTCTCTTTTTTTCTCTGTTGCTGCGTAACTAACAGATAACCAATCTTTTGCCACATCCACACTGTCATTTATGCGCTTAAGATCCTGCTCCATATTAGAAATGCGCTCCATCAATTCTCTCCGTACCATTAGCTAAATAAAAATGTTTTATAAGTATATAATATTAGAATTCAAAATAATACCTCACGATCCTCGATCCATCGCAAGACCGAACAAGTCAATGTTAAAGATTTCCCTGTTCCTGTTGGACTCTCAAATATTCCTATGGACTTGTTTGTCAAGGTGTCATACACTGCGTCCATTAGCTCTTGCTGTATATTGTATGGGGTAAAAGGAAATTCATAGTCATCCGAACGATTGATTTTCTTGCTAGGCGAAAACATTTTTAAATAAAAAGTTAAAGCCTATATTAGGCGCGCCAAACTATGTTGTTCAATTAATAGTTGTTTTTTTATTTTGCGTCTCATTCACAATCAGTGTTTTTACAGAGCTACCGAGCTCTTTCGAAGCAATAGTCACAGAGAACGTAAAATAAACGAGAATCAGAGAACGTAAACAAGGACAAAGATCGTATATAAGTTCTTTGACAACGAGAAGATTCAGGCATGGGAATATGTGTTCTTTCGTAGTAGGGGTCTTGAATTCCATGAGGAATTTTCCTTTTTCTTCATCATCGGCGTGGGTAGCGCTTACGCGATTATAGCAGAATCGTCCATAGCGAGCCATTCGGTTGTTGTTTTGTCGTTATAATGGATCACTAACCTCGCTTAGAGACCGGTTTATTCAATCTAAGTCGCCGAGGTCATCAGGAAACGTGCTGTTTCGACGGGATTGGACTAGAGGAAAATGGGGGTTAGATGTGTCGGCTTAAGAGGGCATGGGAAGAGGTGCTTAGTGTCATATGGAGACTACCCACCTGCAGGGCATATGTTGGGTATGCTATCTATTTCAACTTCATTATCGATAGGGGTTAAGGGTTCGCCATATTCGTTTGTTGCAATTTCACTGCCGTTCGGCATGCTGAAGAAGTGTTCCCTCTATGTACTAAGTATGCTGTGGTCATCGGTCACAGGATTTCCACATTCATTCCTACATGGTTATGCTCCGGTCTTGTAACGATAGTCTCGGTATCTATCCCAACCCGCAAGTGTTCATCTACACAACGAGTTAACAACCATAATGCTTTGCTGTGCAAGCAGTTAAGAACCAAACCAAAAGGCATCTAATAGAAACTGAACCTCCACCTAGTCACATCAGAAAGGGAGTATTAGATCTAAAGCACACAATACAGCAACATGTGTTACAACCGCTGGACAGGAAGGCGTACAGACAAATACTGATCGCCATTCACCAGGAGTCAGTCAACACCTTCAAGGACTCCCTTCCCGTGAATGGCGTGCTCGGAGATAAAGCACCCCACCTATCGCAGACAATGAGCACGAGCTGCCTCGAGAGAGCCTCGTGACACTGGCCCAACTTAGGCATCTGTATGTGGAGAGCCTCCGTACGACACTAACCACCTCTTCACATGTCCCCTCATCTAACTTCCCCTCTTGCTCCGATCCGATAGATGACCTCGGTGACTTAGATTGATTTTTAAATCTGTCCCTAAGCGGGGTTAACGTAGCCACTATGACAACAACAACAAGTATAATATATATTCTTGTGCGGAAATCTAGTACTACAGCCAGCCATATTTCGGCCCGTCAAGCTGTTTGGACTAGCTAGCGCTCATAGGCGTGTTCTAGACACTCGTAGAAAACGACCGTGGTCACATCGTCCTTTTCTTCCGAAAAGACGTGTTGAACACTTTAGCCTCGATGCGGATTGTGGCAAGACATTCATGCACCGGAGTGCATGCCAGTACTCAGCGGAGGAGTACCTCTCCTACCAGAAATCCAACACCAAATTTGCCCTCATTTATATTTCCTCTGTAATAAATTTCACAAGAAGCTACTCGCTTCAGTACCGATACACACCACATTCTCATGGATTCTAAAACTGACTTCGGCAGCCCGATAAGGAGCTGCCTCGACAGCTTCATAAACTGACGTTGGACAATAAAGGGTATAATGTTGCGATAAGGCATATCCGTCGTAAGAAGAGACTAAAATCCAATAGTTCCTGCGACAGATAGGCTTTTTATACCAGTATGACCCGAATTTTTAGAACTCCAGGGGCTGTCTTTCTTTCTTGGCGTTAGCACCGTTTACGCGATTATAGCCGAATTAATTAAAGCGCGCTAATCATCCCTTTGTTGCGCTATTTGGCGTCAGTTGGAAATACAAAGTGAGGCCAAGTCACTCTCTACCTAATCCTTCCAGCGGAGTGGAGATCTTCCTCTTCCTCTGCTTTCACCAGCGGGTGCTGCATCGAATACTTTCAAAGCTGGAGCGCTTTCATCCATTCGGACGACATTGCGCAATCGCTGTCTCTACATTCGCTGAACTATGTCAATATCATCATATAGCTCGGACAGCTCATCGTTCCATCGTCTGAAAGGACCATCAATCTTATGGAAAACTTTTCTCTTGAAGACTCCTAAAGCCGACTCATCAGCTGTTGACATCGTCCATGCTTCCGCTCCATATAGCAGGACGGGAACGATTAGGGACATGTAGAGTTTGGTTTTCGATCGTCGGGAGAGGACTTCACTTTTCAATTGCCTACTCAGTTCAAAGTAGCACCTGTTGGCAAGAGTAATTCTACGTTGGATTTCGAGACTGACATTATTGTTGTTTTTGATGCTGGTTCCTAGATATACGATTATCTACGACTTCAAAGTTATGACTGTCAACAGTGTCGTGGGAGCCAAGTCGCAATTGCAATGACTGTTTCTTCGATGACAGGAGATATTTCGTCTTACAGAAATCACGGCGCGGTTGTTGAGACCGATAATGCTAATATCATCGGCGTACCCCAGTAGTTGTACACTCTTATAGAAGATAGTACCTCCTCTATTTAGCTCTGCAGCTCTTATTACTCTCTACAGCATCAAATTGAAGAAATCACACGATAAGGAATCCCCTGTCTGAAACCTATCGAACGGCTCGGAGAGGTCAGTTTACACAGCCGAATAAGTTTTGCGGGGATACCAAATTCAAACATAGCGGCGTAAGGAGGTGGTGCGTGGCGAAACTCTTTTCATGAGTCATTACCAAGATTTGACGCAAGGTCGATATCTGGTCAAGTCTAAAGCCAGATTGATAAGGTCCAATCAGTTTGTTGACTATAGGCTGCAGTCTATCACACAAAACGCTCGTTAGGACCTCATAAGCGATATTCAGAAGGCTTATCCCACGGCAGTTGGCGCAGACTGTGGGATTCCCTTTTTGTGGATTGAACTGAGTAAGCATAGGTTTCAATAGTTTATTATATATAAATATATAATATTTTTGTGGTTACTACAACTAAAAAAAAAAAAATATCAGGGAACGATGAGCTGTAGGAGATATATGGTGATAATGACATAGCTCAGGGAATAAGGAGACAGCGGTTGCGCAATGTCGTCCGAAGGCATGAAAGCGCTCCAGCTTTGAAAGTATTGGTAGAATCTGGTGGAGTGTGTCCTGGTTTCAGTTGGCGTCAAACAGTGACAAAACGGAACGAAGGACGCGATATTGTAGGCGATAATCACGTAAGCGTTACCTACACCTGTGATAAAGAAGAAGATTCAACTAAAATTATTGTCAAATTTAATTGACTTAAGCGCCTCATAACGAAATAATACTTCCACTTTTATAAGAACAGGCTAGAACTAAGAAGACAGAATGAAACTAACTTTAACTTCCATGGCACCACGATTGTAAGTATAACCCGGTTGGTTGAAGGAGGAAGGCTGAGATCTTGATTACAAGCGGCTGTACCAGTAGATTCTTTCCCAAATACTTAAGTATATTAACTTACACTTTTCATTATCTTTCATTCATTCATTTCATTTTTTATTGGTAATAAGAAGCGTACACCTCATATACGTGTAAGCACAACTAAAACTAAGGTAGCTTTCACAGAATTTCAACGTAAAATCTAATTCATAGTGCCGGAAACAGTGAGTAAATAATTTATATCTTAAGTTACAATGTTATAAATGGATAAATTTATAATTAAATTATTATTTGATTTGCTCATAATAGAAATTTTTACTTAAGTTTGCCCTAGCGCAGGGAATGTTGAGTTCGCAGATAGTTCCACAAGTCGCGGGCTGTTCGTATGCTGACCATAAATTGGCAAAGCTTTGTCTCGATTAGACATAAAATGATGAATTTCGCCCGTTTGTCTTTAAGTAGAGACTAAGTAAATAGAAAAGTGTTTAATGGCGGATGTACATGCATACATATGAATATACATATACATATATATATATATTTCCATAAAATCAATTGGCACACTACCTCTTCATTATTCTCAGGACCACTATCCACAACTGTCCACAAATCTTCGGATTCAAGATAGGCGCGCACTGTCATCGACCAAGCTTTATAGTTATCGAGTCCTTTGAGCTTTTCAATTTGCAACTGTAAAGTCATCTTATTATTACTGTTTGCTAATATTTTATTAAACCGTGAGTTTTCCAAAATCGTAACGCCAACCAAGACTTCCGGAACGAAACTGAATATGAATAACAGAAAATGGAAAATAGAAAAGGTAAACCAACTAAAAGAAACTGAGCAATCAATTTTGTTTGTCGCTTTATAAACTCAAAACGCAAAAATATGGCTAAAAATCGTTATTTTCGCTACTTGAGTCCAATAGCAATGACAACTTGGTCAAGTGGGTCATGATTTCAAATAGAAGATAAAAATATGCTACAAAGACAAAGACGAAGGCTAGGCGGAAGATACATACATACATGCATACATACATACGAGTATGTGCCTACATAAATATTAAAAGAACTTGACAATGAAATCGGTCCAAATAATTGCTTGTCATACATAGTACAAGCACAATACCCAGTCAACCAATCAGAATCAAAAGGAATATTCATACGAGTGCTTCTCGTTTGCACATATTAGGTGTAGTAAAAAGTTCGTTCGCTCGTCTAGATTGATTAAGTCAGTACGTTGTGAGCGTTCGTCAAAGATAAACACCAGCAAAGAGAAAATTCGTTATATTTTAAAATTTTTCCTCGATCAAGGCGATAAAGCAGCCAAAGCGGTTGAAATAATTAATTTAGTTTATAGGTCCGATACTGTAAACGAGCGTGTAGCACAAAAGTGGTTTGCTAGGTTCCGTTCCGGTAATTTCGATGTCAAAGATGCACCACGCGTCGGGAGGCTGTCGTCGAAAATTGCGATAAAATCATGGAAATAGTGGAAACAGACCGCCACATAGCACTTATTTCATTGCTTAGGAACCAAAGATAAGCCAGAGAACCATTTGGAACCATTTGTATAACCTTGGATTCAAAAAGAAGCTCGATGTTTGGGTGCCACACGAACTAACGCAAAAAAAACATGATGGACCGAATTTTCATCTGCGAATCGCTGCTGAATCGCAACAAAATCGACCTTTTTCTGAAGCGGATTGTGATTAGCGATGAAAAATGGGTCACTTACGACAACATCGAGCGCAAACGGCCGTGGTCCAAGCGCGGGGAAGGGGCCCAGACCGGATTGACGGCCAGGAAGGTTTTGCTGTATATTTATTTGTATATGGGATTGGCAAGGAATCATCTAATACGAGCTGCTCCCCTATGGCCAAACACTCAACTCGGCCCTATACTACCAACAAATAGACCGCTTGAAGGCAGCACTCATCCAGCAAAGGCCAACTTTGATCAACAGAGGTTCCTTCAGGACAACGCCAGGCCACACACGTCTTTGGTGACGCACCAGAAGCTCCAGGAGCTCGGATAGGATTTCCTAATGCACCGACCTTATAGTCCGGACGTGGCACCAAGTGATTACCACCTTTTCCTGCCCATGACGAACGGGCTTAATGGTGAGAAGTTGGCCTCAAGAGATTACTGTGAAAATTGGCTCTCCGAGGTTTTTGCCCATAGTGACGCCGCCTTCTACGAGCGGGGTATAATGAAGTTGGCATCTCGTTGCAATTTCACGAACAAAATGGCGCATATTTGACTTAAATCGGAAAAATGTACACACAGTTATCATGTTTTGAAAACTCAATAAAACACCGAACGAACCTTTTGCTCGACCTAAAATTTATTTATTTTATGTAATTTTTCCGGCTGCAATAGAGATATTGTACCAGGCATATACTGGGACCGAAATTCGAGATAATACTGAAGGATACCAACAAATCCTGGTACGACCAACATCTGACACCCATGTCAACCCCTCCGTGTGTATTATTGACGTCCATTTGCTGGAAAAAACATCAAGACGCAAAACCACAAATTGGATGTGGGGCTCGGCCGAAAATCGCTTCAGCGGTTACAAAACGCCAATTATATATATAACATTTGGTACCTAAGGGTAATATTTACTCGGAAAATGATTGAATTGAAACAAAAAGGAAGTGTTATCTTCGGCCAAGTCATAGCCCCCTTGAAATAAATTAAATTTCTCATATCAAAACAAAAATAATAAATACGACTCAAATTCTTATATTCCAACATTGCCTTCAAAATGCGCCGAAACGGTCTCATTTACTTCATCGTCGGGGATAAAATTTTTAACCCTCAGCTCTGTTTTTCTTTTTTGCAATTAGGTAACAATCACTCCAGCCAGGTCTGGGCAGTAGAGTGGGTGATTTAAAATATCGAAGCCAACTTTTAACAGGGCAGCCCTCACAAAACGGCTGTTGCGTTTACGGAGCCGTGAACATTCTTGCTACCCATCTTGCACTGATCTTGGTTGTGCGTGAAAATTTCCTATATTGGATACTCCAAACATTTTTACGAGTTGTTTCTCCTTTAGTCGAACATCGTTGAGGACAATTTTTTTTAACATTTTGTTTAAGTTTTTTCGGGGTCAACTCGATGCACCTGCCGGTCTCGGGCAATCTTCAAAGGATTCACTTTGAAGAAGCCAAAGGTCTTCAATATTTGGGAACCACTGCTAAATTCTCACTTTTAATGTTCGCTAAGAGCTCTGATTCTTGTTTCGTATGCACATATATACTTCCACTTTTGTAAATTTTATGCGTATACATATATAAAATAACTTTCTGTATATATATATATACATATTTACATATATACACACTTTTCGTCGTATAAATTTTTGTTATTTTTAATTTTTTCTCTTATACAATTTTTTTAATAAAATAGTTGGTTTTCCTTCATTTTCGTTTGAATATTATGGTGAGTTCACACCGGCACTACCTTCTTAAATACACTCCCTAGTTTAAATATACTGAGCTAATTGTACAATATGGTTTTTCCACGAGGAATAGTCGCCGTAGACCAAGGGCGTTCTATTTATTATGCTTGCAACTGATTTTCCTTGCTTAGTAAGGAACTTTATAACGACACGATACTCGTTTTTTCCATATTTCTACTTTCACTCACGATTGTGACCATGAAGGTGATAGCTTAAATGCTAATTGAAGCTTGTTTTATTCTAATTATGAGTCGCGAACACTCTTAATAAGCTTAATCACCACCCCTCAACCATTTCATACCGCTTACATAAAAAGGCTCCCTCGTGTGATTATCCGCTTATGGCTAACATAAGAAGGCTGTTGTCGATTGAAATTAGATATTTTGAAATAAAAAAATATAATTAAATAAAATAAAATGAAATGTTAATGTAGGAATCTACTAATTCTAATAATTTAGAAAATGAAAATATTTGAAACTTAAAATTCAGTAACATAAAACCTGAAAATTTAAAATAACAAGTTATAAATACACAAATTAAATACTATAAAATAAATAATTTTTTATAAAGTCAAACTAAATTAAATAAAACAATTGTTATATAACAACGTAATTATATTTAATCGATAAACGAATATATGTCCACAACAGACTTTAACTAAATCGCAATTATAACGAGAACGAGAGAACTTATAATAATGAGAAGAATCTCAACAAAAATAGAATAGAATCAAATATAAATTAAATGTTTCATTCATTTTTTACTTTGTACTTTATTCATTTTCCATCAAAAACGTTAAAGAAATAAAATGTATCAAAAACTTTTTAATGTATTTATAAAAAATTATGACAATTTGAGCTCTCTGTACCATTCATCTAATGGGTTGTGTCCTGACTTCCAAGGCAACGCAATGAGTCTTGTCCGAGATAGCACATCAAATTTTATACATTTTGGCCGCATCCAGAGAACTTAAACTTATTATAAGTTCTCTGATTGCACCTTCTCGTTATTATAAGTTCTCTGCTTACGTTTTTGTTCTAGATACTGCATGGCGACATCTGTCTGGCAGTTCTGGCAGAGAATGTTAATATAACAGAGAATCTATAATAACAGAGAATGTTAACATAATAAGAAGGCGCAAATGTTAAGCAGAGAACTTAGAGTAACGAGAAGAAGAGAACTTAGAGTAACGAGAAGGTGCAATGATAGAGCAGAGAACTTATAATAATAATATAATATATAATATAATTATTTTAAGTTCTCTGATAGAATGTCGTATTTAACCTTTATCCATATTCGTTTATGTATGTATATAATGCATAATAAAGTGATTCAACCAAATTACTTAAAATTATTTAAAAAATGCAATTGGCCAACTTTTACTCGATATAAAAATGACAAAAAAAGACTTTAGACGTTATATCTTATTACCATTTTAACTTCACGATACTGCCACTTTATAAATGTAATATTGATTTTTATATAAAAAATGCTAAGCTGCTTGAAAATATTTTTATTTTTATTGAATTTCAGAATTTACAACGCAAAGCCTTTGAGTTTTTCAAGAGTAAGTTTTATTTATCTTTATTTTTTGTTTACATTTGAGAGATTTTGCGCTTTTTTAGAAAGTTGAAAATTTATTAAAAAAATATGAAATCGGTAGCACAAGAATAAAACAAAAAAAATCTTTTTATGTCAGATTGTTAATATTTTTGAAAAAAAAAATTTTGAGTGAAATTATCTAATTTTTTGTATCATGTATTTTAATTTTAGCTTTTTGACGAAGAAAGCCAGGTGAAGGGAAAAGTTTAATTGGAGTGTGCTTTGTTTTTAAAAATTCAAAATCCGTTTTTTGTTCTTTTAAAAAAATCGTACCCAAATAAAATTGCTTCTGCAGTTTTCTGAGTGACTGGTGCGTGGTTTTTGTCATTACAAATATAAAATTCTGAAAATGTTGATTGAATTGCGGAGAAGCGGCGTTGGTTCGAATCCCACAATGCAAGGAATACTTCTTTATTTGTTTATATTATTTTTAAATTAATTTAATTTTAATTATTAAATATCCCTATTTTGTTTAATTATTACTATTTTTTAATTATTTGCAATCCTAATCTCATTAATAACGAGTTTTTTTGTTGATATATGAACAATAAAAATATTATATATATATATATATATATATATATTGTTCTTCATACATTCTGCGCATTGAGTTCACTCAATTCACGCATACCTAAACAGCTCCAGCTTCGAGTTCCCTCGAAGTGTGATTTCTGCAAGTCGACCAGTTCCGGTGATTCCGAGATGTAGTGAGTGCGATGGACGGAAGAGAATAGGTCATTAAGAAATCCACTATAGCCGTCATATAAAGAAACGCAATTATCCAGATGTGCGGCGATGAACTCAAAGCAAGCAACTTAGAATTTCTGGGTCCTGTTACAACTGGGAATCAGCTATCCATATCAAACGAGGTCTGTACAAAAATATGTATATATTTCATGCATTAGAAAACTAATTTTTTGTGATCTTGTTCAGCTCCTCCTTCTATGCAGTCTTTAGCTCCTAAGCCGTACCGTAGCGTAGTTTTTTCTTGGATTAGTTTTGGAACGCAGTCAACGCCAAAAGAAAGTTACACCTTTTTCTCATTCATTTCACTCTTTATTTCGGTTTAAAAATATTAAAACTTTTTAAACTGCTAACTGCTTCCAACCTCCTTGGCATTGATTCCACTAAGTTGGACACTACTTTCACTCCTCTAGTAAAATTTCTTTCAGTGTATTGTTGGTGTTTATATTTCTTTTCATTATTAAGCCGTCCAAATTCTCCCACAGATGCTCAATGGGGTTGAGGTCCGGAGATTGTTGGGGGGTGATTCAGCATTCCTTTACAATTACTGTCGCATGCTTAGGATCGTTGTCCTGTTGGAAGATCCAGGATTGATCTAAGCCTAATTTTTCAACGCTTGGAAGCAAATTTTTTTTTTTTTAAATGTTTGGGTAATCAATTTTGTTCATTCTGCTACCAATAAACACCATCCTTTCCAGTTCACTTGCCGTCGGGCACCCCCACCATGCTTTACAGTGGAAACTCCTGATTTTTGCGATTTGTACTTAGTTTTACATTTTTCCGCAAATTCCTATCGCCGCTTTTGGTTCTGCGTACCTGGTACCCGACCATACAGACCTTTAGAACGCATTGCTCGCCTGATCGTGCTGGCACTAACATTCAGTCCGGATATTCTAGATATTTCTTCCCATAATTGATAGCAATCACAGTTGGATCTATCTTCGCAGCCCTCAATCTGACCGTATTTCAGTATTATTAAGCAGTTTTGATCTACCTGAACGTGGTGGATCTTCTATTTCACCAAACTTTTTTTGCTTATCAATGATTTTTTTTACTGCATTTTGACTGTTTCCAATTACTCACGTAAAGACTTCCTTCTTAAAGTTTACCATTAATCTCCTTATAACAGGTAAAGTTTAAAGTAACTTCGAACGAGAACTTCTTTTATCCCCGCAAAATGCATACGGCTGTGTAAACAGGATTGCAGGATTGGGAAAGACTTCTCTGAGCCGATCGATAACAAACGAGGTTTCAGACAAGACGACAATTCATCTCTCGACAAGAAAAGGTCTTACTCTACAAGTCCCTTATCATTCCTGTCCTCCTAAGTGGTGCGGTGGCATGGACGATTACGATTTACGAGATATACAGCGACATAAAAATATTTCAGCGAATAAAGAGGCAGTGCCCAGAGCTAAATCAGAGGGAGAGAAAGACCTTCCCTCTATAGTCATTCCAAAAAAAGATGAAGAACTGAAAATAGCTAGAGACATCCATTAATCGTATATTAATAATCGCCAAGATCCATTAATATGTGACCGCTTTAACCGATTAATGAATATTTTTTCCATCGTTGGTTTGTGACCATAACCAAATGTGTGAAAGACAAGTGTGTGGGTTTCATGTTCATATGTTCATGAATGGTATAAACACCGTAATAACGTTTACTTGCCGCAACGCATCAACTGTCGTGCTCTCAGTGGCCAACAAGTCGTGAATACTGTGATGAACTTTTCTCCATGCATCGTTTCATAATTGTAACCGGCTGGTCGGTGTCGCTGATGGTGTTCAAAAATGCGCTTTGATGATCGGGTTACACAAACACGTGGGAGTAATTTTCTTGCAATTAGGATGCGATTACGATAATGCCAACGATGAGCTGTGAAAGGGTAATTGAAGAATATGGGCTATGCATCATGAAGACAGCGGCAACAGCGGCAGCAAAGGCAATGTCACGTGTCGGAACTCGACAACAAACACACACAAAACCAGTTGCTACTATCCTACAAACGGGAGCCAAAGCCAAACAAAATTATGGCTAGAGTTTCTTCTGCAATGTCTTGGGGTGGATTTGCTTACCGTCTGGCCAAGATGGAAAAAGGAGTAAAGAAAAGAAGTAGCGATTGTTTCCGGGCGCACTTTCAATTTGGCAAAGTGAAAAACCTTCGCTTGCGTTTAAAGCTTATTGACTTCTTATCCTTGAATAGATTTGAATTGTGATTCGCACCCGCACGCGATTACTGCGTACGTGTATTTTCCGGCTCTGCAGCTTTTGAGGTAGTGTCCTGCTGGGAGTCAAGAAGGCGCAAAGACAGGCATGATGCCGAGTAATCAGCAGATAATCAAGATGTAGAAAATATTCAACAATCCAATGGTTGGGCGGGTATAAGACTGTTCGAAGAGCGTTCGTAAGGTTTATGTGTATGAACTGAAATTGTAATTTAAAACCAAGAAAAATCCGTCAGTTCCTGACAAAGCTTTATGGTCAGGTACATACATACGTGTATGTATAAATACAATATAAATGTATGCATACGTATTTATTGCTTACATTGTACGTATAACTGTATTCAAAACAGTGGTGCACCACAGCATTACATTCATACATTCATACATACTCATATACATACATACATACATATAATATATATGTAAATAAAATGGCTTAGTGTAAGATGAATTGCGTACTCGGTGGTAACTGTAGTGTAGAGCGTTGAGATCATGCATTTCATGTTGAATACTATCATTAACTTAATGAAGTAGCAGGTAGGCGTGAATATTGTACGTGTATGTATAGATGTACATGTGTATGTATGTAGGAATGTATCCGCCTAGAATTTCCAAGTTATTCACCTGACTCAAAATATTTCCGATGTTAAAATTGTGAAGGGGAATGTTTGGAAGGCTCATATTATTGAATATATTAAGCGCAAGTATCTACATACATATTTATACGTTTGCACATTGTAATGTTTGTGCCATTGAGGTTATGATTTCCCACTTCCTTCACATTTTTTGTTCAACTTCATTTGTTTAAAGCCACAGTTTCCTATTTCTCTTGCCAGCACACAAGTCACTAACTCTCCATGAACACACAGCTTACTCAGGCTGCACTTCACACCAGCGTTGTCACCACAGAGCCCTGTTTTCAACTTCCTGCAGTGTTCTTTGCCGCTCTTATATACCTGTCCATTCCTCTCATAAAGATTTGGAAAGCTCATTAGAAATTAGCTTTCGATAGCCGCGCTCTAGAACATGCGATAGCTATTTCTCCCTTTCAGCTGATATTCGTATTTAACAATTTTGCTACAATCCTTCCAGTAACAAAATGAGGTGAAGGTATCTACTAGCTTATAAGGGGTGATCCAAGTAGAGGTAATTTTTTAAATAGTCTATTTTTTGCCAGATCATGTCGCGTCAAGCTGTTAATTTATTTTTGTTCAGTATTGTTTGGAAAGACTTACGCCTGAAAAGCTTTTACAAATCGTTCAACTTTATTTATTTATTCGCGCGTCTCGCTCAACTAATGGTCAATATAATCGGCCTACCCAGCGTACTATTCGCAAACCATAACCCATCTGGAGACCCAGCATTCATTATTGGATAATATTCGATCGAATAGACCACGTCCAGCACACAGGGAAGGAAATAGAGCGGTCGTGGCTGAGACTGTACAAGAAGAGTCGATTCGGCGCCGTTCACAGAAACTCGGACTGACGTATGGAACGACTTGGCGTATTTTACGTCGAGTTCTCAAATTGAGGGCGCACAAAATACAGCTTGTGCGTGAACTGAAGCCGCCCGACCTTCTTTGGGCACTTGAAAAGTTCCTTTGAAGATCCGACGATTTTGTTCAGCGATGATGCCTGATTCGGGCATTTGGGATGAAGAGCAACCTGAAGAGATTCAACAGCTGCCGTTTCATCCAGAAAAAAGAACGGTTTAGTGTGGTTTGTAGGCCGGTGGAATCATCGGTCCATATTTCTTCAGAAATGATGTCAGTGAAAACGTAACAGTTAATCGTGGCCGTTATCGCGACATTATAACTACTATTTGATGCCAGAAATTAAGGCTCGTGATCTCGGCGCCACTTGACACATATTGCATCGATCAATGGATTTATTGAGAAGGTACTTCGGTGAGCAGAGAGTTTCACGTTTTGCGCGGGTCGATTGGATACCAAAATCATGTGGTATCATTTCGCTAGAGTTTTTCCTGTGGGGTATGCAAAGTCTAAATTCTATGGGGACAATCTCGTTTCGATTCAGGCCTCGGAGCAGAAGTTCACGCGTGTCATTCGCCAGTTCTCAGTCGAAATGCACGAATGAGTCATCAAAACTTGGACTGAAAGTATGGACCATCTGAGACGTAGCCGCGGTCAACATTTGAAAGAGAAAATCTTCAAAACATAAATGCCAAAGAACGTTCTTCCCATTGATAACAAACGTTCCCCATTGAATTTGAGTTTTCCGTGTTTTTTTTTTCTTTAAGAGAAATTGATCACCCTATACATACATAAAAGTTAACTTAGTTAAGTTTCACGTATATTTATATAAAATAGTTACATTAGGGTGCCCGCTATTCACCAAGATAATTTTTTTCCTGCTTGCATCTTTTTTACCAGTACCATTTAAAAAACGGTATGTTACCGTTAACTTTGCTTGTAGTATTGCTTAACTCCGTGCTATTATGGTTTTCACTTTAATTTGGTTGTGAAATTTTCCGGAGTGCGCATCCAAAAAGTGATTTCATTTATTTTAAAGGTAGCAGGCGATAGTTTAGGTTCTGATCAAACAAATCTGGAACATAATTCGGCTCCATTGACAAACAATAAGACGAATTTCGAATTGTAGGGATCGAACCAGAATGACGAACTGATTTGTTTGAGGTATAATTTGAATTGTCCGTCTCTGTGGACGGAAACGAGTCCTTCAGTTTTTGAGATATTTGTACCCAGCTCGGCATACAGATGCACTGGTCCCTTGAAACGATCATTTGTGGGAACCCTCCAGATCGAATCACTATAGCTTACAGCTGCTGTAAAAATAATATCACCAAGAATATAAATAAAAATAAAGGTCCCAAATTTGGCAAATATTTTCACAATATTTTTTTTTAAGAATTT